TTTCTGTGTATGCAATAGCAGTTGCGTCCGGAAACGCCAAAAAACTACGAGTAGTAGTACCTGTCCCGTAAGTAAGGTTGAGCTTTGTTTTTTTTGGCTTAAAAAACCAAGGCGTTACAGAACTTGTGTAACGAGTACGTTAGACTTCCAATCCAATAGGATCATTGTCTTTAGGTCGCCGAGATTTCTCCTGGTAAAATGCTGTTCCGATAAATTCTTTTGGTGATATGATACGATCATAGGGATCTCCTTCATGATTGACCAGCCGCTATGGTCACACACAAAATCTATCTATCCATCCATCTGGAGTCCGGGTGTTTACCCCGCTTTATGTAGAGCTTTCTGGTAACGTTTCAAACCTTTTGACGAATCAATCATCATCTCACATACAAAAGAAAGATTCCCATGAGCATTCATCCGGATATATTAAAAACACGCAGGTGTCAGGGAGCGGTTTGTAGATACATACACAAGTAAATACGCAGTCTCATGATTACAAAACGCATATATTATTTATATCACTGGCATGTGAGTGCTGCGTGCCCGATCCTATGGATTTTTGACTATCGGGAGGATTTCGGCCTATTGGGACCTGCTCGTGATAATTATAGGTTGCCTACTAAAAAATGCTTATTTTTGCTTGGAGATTTCAGCTTAGTAGAAATGCCCAGAAATGTTTTGAGGTGTTAGTCCCGGGATGGCGTTTTGCACCTACCAGCTGCATCGTGGGGAGTGACATGGTTGTTAGTTGGGATCTGAGGTTAGTTACCCTGCTCCATGTGATCACATGACTTCGCGATTTACCCGCCCTTAATTGAGTCCAACACTAGGTCTCACCGTATACGTAGGAAGTAAGCCGCGGGTTCCCATAAACGAATGGATATTAGAGACAGCATCAGCATTAGTATTTTTCGTCAGGATCGATCTCGGTGAACACATGGGGTTTCCCTCCAAATCTAAAACAGACCATATGCTGTTGGTCTCTGTTTCAGCCACTCCGGGTGCTCTGCCGAAATATCATGGCAACCAGACTAGATACTGAGGTCCATATGGGACGTTGGTTTGTATCAACGGCTCTGTTGTATCACCATTTGCCAGGTGGGGATCTATTTTTTTCTTCAGCAGATCTTGCCGACGGTAGAGTACCTACATGTATTTACCTGCTGCATCACCCCACAACTTTAGATCTAGGCTTGTTTCCGCTAACGTTATTTTATGCGTCCGCCATGCAGGAAACCGGTCAATTGTGATGTTCAACTTTGCCCCTGCATACTGGGTATTGATCTCGGGAGTAGGCACATTGCGACTTCATAAACGGCTCGGGTAGTTGTCGATGAATATTAATTACCCCGGCATCTTCTGCAAAGGAAATGGATGTATACAGCACTAATTGTATAGTCTGTGTAGGGCTAAATAACGTTAGTAACATGTAGCTTGATCTCCCGAGTCCACTGGATCTTCGGAGTATCAGAAATACATGCTGGCATTTATCATTGTTGAAGATTTGATATCTGGTCTCATTTTTTTATCCCTGGAAGATGGACGTTCAAGGTGCTAGAATCACCATCTTCAGTTCATTAGCTCTTAGAGCTACCGAAATGTGACCCCTCTCACATATAATTGGGAAAAAACCAGGGTTGGCATCTTTGCTGAAGTATTTGGAGAAAACTGCCTTATAGACGTAATTAAAGTTCGTCCGCAGAGAGCCAGCAAGATTCGGTGAGGGTTGGCTGTTCCACATGCAATCTTTGCATCCCCTAAGATCGAGCAAGTCTTCGTGGCACGGTGTAGCACCACATTGCTAAACGAAATTGACGTCTTAACTGATGATCATGATCAGTATTCTTGAACACAAATACATGTATCTATTTAAGGCTGTGCATGCTTGGCAAGGACTGATGTGTTCTATCAGCAGGTACTTATGTATGCGATTAGGATATTGAGGGCTTTATTGAACTTCCTTATGAGAAATATCTTGAGAAGGGATAGGGTGGTAGCATGGAACCTAATAGCTGCAAATGTATTTTTATAATAAATCTCTAATCATGAGACCGAATCCTTCGATATTGCAGGTCGTGGTGAGGCAGTGTAGAGTAGTGTAGAGTAGCGTAGAGTAGAGTAGCTTTGCCCGTGCTGCACAAACCTAACTAGCGGATAAGCGTTGGTAGCGAAAACCACGTTGATTTGACGCGAGTTCTCTAATTTCTTGTATTCTGGTTCCCACGATATCAAAGCTTGAGTGGTCTAAGTACTGCATGTACTTGACAAATAAAAATTCTAACCATCCTCTTTTTGATGTAGGCATTGAGCCACCGCGTAATATTTAAATTACCCGAAAGTTCTTGATTTGAGATGATTTTCTAGGGTCCAATTGTTTCTCTTTTCTTTTTTGAGAACTCCCATTCCCTTTGTGAAATACGAATAGGTAGTCGACCGGAAGTTGTGCTCAAGCATAGATTGCAGCTCCGCAGAAAGGGGAATTCCTAGTGGTCTGTTTAGATTGGTTCTAGCCAAAACAATAACTGCCGAGTAATCAATTGGTCGCAGCTGTCTTACCCCCAAATCAGATAGACCGGATTCTTGTTAGCGACGCCTATCGGCCAGGAATTTCATTGTAAATACATACCTTCAGTACTTCATACCAGCGCTTCGGTGTAATGGTAGATGGGTACGAGATTAAAGATTTCGCCAGGATACTCTCAAATTTCATAGTATTCCTGTAGTTTTTTTTTTTTTTTTGCGGCGCAATAACACGTTTTCGTTCTTGGAGATCCTGTCCCATAAACCTAACATTTACCGAGACTCCGGTTCGTTGGCTAACCCTATTCCCTGCGGGGTCTAACAGGGTTTGCTGATGCCGCAAATCATCAACAATCGTACGATGAACCATGGTGTTTTTGTAAATTAGTATATCTGAGTACGGATTGGTGGTGGGATCATTTTCGCGGTTTGTCATGTATCAAGATTGCATGCTGTCTCTCATTTTCTCCGAACTTTCTGGGGACCTGAATATCAGCAACTCATCTAAAGGTAGACGGGCACTCAATCCATTATGGATTTTGTGGCAAATGTAAAGCTTTTGTTGTGGGTATCAACCCAAAGCTGCATCTAATAGGCGGCAGTACATAACCCGAGAAATATGCGTAATAGAGTAAGGAGAATCGTACACTTTTCCAAAGACCGCTCTGTGGGTAAATGTGTAAGCGCTTTGAAGATATGTGCTATTTTTCTTTTTTCTGGTCCCGCCTTCCCTTTCCTGGTTGGAACCAGGATGTATGTAGCGTTTTTTCCAATTAAAAAGCAAATGGTTGATATTGTGCTCACGACATCTTTAGAAAGCACCAGGTTCCAAAATAAAGGGAATAGTGAAGGCCGCTGAAGATGTTAATTTGGAATCAAAATTATAAGTGGTAAATTCAGATGTAGATCTAGTGTGCAGAGGGAACGTATCCTCAAGTAGCTTTATCAAGTTGCATGGCGTCAATTCCTCTCTGTTGGAACCCTTGGGTGACTGGTGATTCAAACACCACAAGCAGGGATATTGATATCAAGGCATGTTCAACAAAGGTATTACACTTATGGCAAGCTGCATCCAGTGCAACCAAAACCACGGACAAGTACTGTACGCACTTTACTTTGTTGGAAAGGCATCTCCCCGAAAGAATGCTGCAGAAGCAAAATGGAAGCATTGTTACCACGGGAATTTCTGGTCCTTACTCGTTCAGGCAATTCGACCGCAAAATAGTAGTAGACGTCTAGGGTAATAAGTCTTAGGGTTACCAAGTGGGAAAACCCAGTATCCACGATTGTTGACTCTACAGAACTCCATTCAACCATATGGGTTACCAGATGTCTTCCCAAGGAACATTTCCCGCCGTTGGTCTTAACCGTTTTACCGATGCATAGGCTCACCTCCGGTTAGCAAGCCAATCGCCTGTCCGATAAGCAGCTGTGTAGTTTCTTGGCATCTAGGCCATTTTCTGTATCCAGCTGACCGACGGTACGTTTGTGTCTCCCGCGACCGACTGCGCAGGGTTGGGGAAGGGACTTGGCCACACACCGTACCAACGAGGTTCAGCAAACCGCCTGCACACTGTTGACCCCTGCCCCCTCAATTATGTTCCAAAATGGCTGTTTTTCTGGGGGGAGGAAGAAAGGGAGAACACCCTGGAGAGAGTTGAGTTGGGGAAGTAAGGGAGTAGGAGAGGGCTAGTAGGGATAAGCAGGTTGAGGCTGTTCAGTTCTTTCCCACGAGTAGGTTCGAGAGAAGATCCATAGCTCAGCCGCATTACAGATGTGTGGGACATCAAGACGGGGAATTTTCGACCAGAAACACGCAGCGCTGATGCTGCACCTCTTTTCTGGATGTTCGAAATACCCATGACGAGTCTGACGGCGTACTCACTTACATTCCGTGACCATCGCCGCACTGCTCTCTAAGATTCGCTATTTCACGCATCGACCAAAGAGAGTGTGTGAGTGGAAGTGAGAGCAACGGAGGATAACGGATCTGAGAGGTCAGAAATCGAAATCGGAGTTCGACAGAAAAAAAAGGAACTAGAGGAATAGAAAGAGTACCTTACCGGAAACCAATCGATCAATAGTGGCTGTTGAGGCGTTTTAGTTGTTATTCGCCCCAGTACGTACAGTACCTACAGCTACTGTAGGTACCTACTACCTAGATTTAGATTTCCCTCGACTGTACTTTACAGGAAGCTCGAGATCATCCTTCTGTGATATCGACAATATCAACAACGTCTTTTGGTAGGGTCTAATATCTTCTCTTCCAACTTCACACCCGGCTTTCTGTCCCCTCCCTCCTATACCCACCACTAAGTCTTTGTATTCGATATTGCACCCCGTTAGAAAGCCGCCGACGGGAAGAATAGAGTCCGGCTCACAGGGCTGAGCTAACCAGGAGCCGACGGGGTAGTGAATGAGGAAGAAAAAGAGGCAGGGCCACTGCAAGCTATAACAATATCACATCTCTCAGTCAAGTCATGGCAGATATCAAAAGCGCCCCGTCCCGCCAAATTACCGGTTCGAGTGACGGGAGAACTCACGACGCTATTCATGTAAAGCAATCTCCCCCGCCTCATTTATATCAACCCAGGCCATCTGTATCGTCATCGCCCGCATCGGAGGTATTGTCATCATCAAGAAGTCCGTCCTTTACTTCTACTGGCACCGTCCCTGCTGCGACGTCTGTTTCTTCCCCGGTAACATTGGGGGCCACCACTAAAACAGCGCGATCCACAACTAAGAAGAAACATACCGCCACCTCCACAAAAGATACCTCGACCACCATGACTACCATATCATCTCCCTCTATCAAAGAAGGGACGACGCCAACTCAGAGAATAAGTCGGGCAAAGAAAGGTAAACGGGTACACGCATGCAATCATCCTAGTTGCGATAAGGTCTGCCATTAATATTTATATTTGAATGTCATTTAATTGCGGGACTGATATTTCGTTGATAGGTATTCACGAGAGCGGAACACTTACGGTACTGACTTCCGGGAAAGCCAGGTCTTGTATGTTTTGTGGTACTAACAAAATTTGAACTTAGTCGCCATCAGTTAAACCATAATACAGATGTTCTTTACAAATGTGAAATGTGCGAACGGACGTTTGTCCGGCAGGATCTCTTGTCTCGCCATACAGAACGACAGTGAGTATTGCAGACTTGATCAAGGCCAGCTGGGGTGGAGGCTAACTAACCTATTTCCTTCAGCGCAACGCAAGCCATGAAAGCAGTTCAGACACTGGCACTGGCTAGAAATACTGGGTTTGCCGCTCGATACGGTATAAACGGAATTTCGGGCATGTCTACTCGTCCGGTACCAACAAGTGATTATGGGGGAAATGCGCATGTATTTGACTCTAATCCTCATGCAACGCCTCGAGTCCATACGGATATGAACGCCCTTCCACAGATCCTTACCTCTCATTCGCCCCATCAATCTACTCCTTCTGCATCCTCTTTGGTGACGCCCCATTCTTCGAATTCCATGACAAATTATACATCCGGTTTCTCGCCAAATATGTCAATATCCAATTCTGCAGACTCCCAGTTAGACTATTCCACTACAGATGCAAACTCTCCATCCGGACTTCGAAGAGCTCACCTTCCATTTCATCTGCAACATAGCGAGCCACAGAGACAGTCAGAGCACTTTATTGCGACTTCACACCCAGAAATAATGCAGCGGCCTCCAGCCTTATCTATGGACCACCATTTGTACGCAAAGCCAATGCCAACATGGGAGAATTATGCCTGGTTATTTGAGGACAGTACATCTCAAGATCAGTCAATTATTGAGATGAATTCCGCTCAGAACACGGGTTTACCATTTCTGAACCCATTAGAAACGACTCATTATCAAAATGTGGCCATGAACTGCGATCCCAGCTTCCATCAAATAGATGATAGAGTGCGGTCCCAGGTATTGATGTTGTTAGGTAACATACCAAATTTGCATACTAGCGATTGTACCAGTGCGTCTTCAATGCAACAATACCTCCGAAACTATTGGACGAAATTCCATCCTTTGTTTCCGGTACTCCACAGGCCCACATTTGTACCAAGTCTGCAATTGGTTATGTTGGTTGCGATTGTAATTGCACTAGGAGCCTCATTTGCATCCGACGAAGACCATCAGTTTGGGATGATGTTGTATGATAAAGTAAAAGGGCTGATCCTCAATGTATGGTTGTTCTCATATTCAATAACTTGCAATGTTTACAAGCTGACAAGGTATCAGTCTGATGAGTTTTCAACGCACAATTCGAACAGTACCTACTTGCAGCAAACCATTTTATTGACCGATATTTTCGGAAAAATGAAGTGCACAAGGCCACAATTTGATGGTGCACCGCTTGATGTTATCCTGATGAAAGTAAAGCTCCCTATTCTTATTATTTGCGATCTCTCCTGATTATATCATAGCTTCTACGACGTAGCGAAATTCCAACAACAGATCCTCTAGAGCAGATTAAGCGTTATCACAGATCAGGACTGGAGTTAAATTATGACAATGAATGGCAAAATTGGATAGATCTTGAGTCGCGGAAAAGGTAAGCCGTGATAAATATTGTCGTTGGTCGTAATGGTGCTTGTTTTTAACTGTCCTAGGGTTGCTCTGCTGTTCTTTTACTGGGATGTACAACAAGCTACGATTTTCGGTCGTGAGATGTGTCAGACCGCATTTGATCACCGCGTGTATCTTCCTTGCGAAGAATTCCTTTGGAATGCCAACACATCTCAAGAATGGGTGGGATATTTGGATGGTCACATGGAAACTCTGAGCTTTCTGGAAACTCTTCGTATCTTCCTGGACCCTAAGCGCCAGCTTCCCGTGCTATCACCCCTGAGTTCCATGTTTATATTGCACGGGTTGATATCTGTCGGGTTTGACCTCCATAGACGATCATCTCCTATAGGACCAAGCCCAGAGGAAACTGCAGCTAAGCAAGCGCAACTTTTGCGGGCGTACGAGAAGTGGGCGACTTACTACAACATTAACGTGAGTCCACATCTTTCCCAGATTACCAGCGATCAAAATATGGTCATGTATCACTCGGCCTACATTTCCCTCCACACAAATATACACAACCTCATCACCACCGCTGGTGACAGCAGAATCTTCAAACGGACTTCCGAGAGAGATGAACATCAAGGGGCCAAGTTTGAGATTCAGCAGTGGGCAAGTACTGCTGCTGCCAAACTTGCGACATGGCACGCAGTTAAGATCCTAGTAAGGTCTCTTGGTCGACCTCAATTATATCCTGAACATTTCCATGTTCCCTGGTCGATGTATGTGGCAACATTGGTTTGTTGGGCATATGGCCAATTTTCGTCCTCAGCTGTTGGCCCGGGCGTTCAAGCGTCAGAAGATGAAGTTATCTGGGATGCACATCAAGACATGGGCCATTACCTGCGACAGATGAACACCGATAATTGGGAGGATTTGGTGCACATGAGGTGGCAGACGCGCACGGCAGGCCTGTTGACGGTCGTCCAGGGCAGCATGGAGGGCATCAGGTGGGGACTGATACAGGAGAGCGTTGAAGTGCTGAAGAGGCTAAATGCCCCAAGGGCTGCAAAGAGTGTGTGATATGGATTTGGGGATATTCAAACCAAATCTCCGTTATAACATATTTCCTATGTAAAAATGGCGGCGGCTCCTGGTGTTCCGGCATTTAGGGAGGGTTTATTTGTAGCTGGTTTGTTAGCCTTTTTTGGCCCCGGTGGTACTTGTGCATTTCTGCGAAGTGTCGTTGTTTATTCTCGTTTAGCTTTGTATATTTTGCTTTCTTTGGAAGTCTAGTAAATCTGACAGATTGAAATTAATCTTTTTGGTTTATTTTTCTTGGCGAATATTTTTTAAATCGTCCGAGTTGGTATTGATAATTTCCTTTGATTTGTTCTCTCACTTTCAGTAGTGATGAGAAGTTTACAGGCATGTACTGTGATATTGGAAGCCGGAAATAAATTGTACCCCGACGGCTCTCAGAAATGAGATTTTTTGAGATTAAACCTTAAAGCGGCATCAATCCCAAAACCCAGTCCTGCCGTAGTCTTGGCTGGATAAATTGGATTTATTGAGAGGCATACATGCGGGGAGGCGGTTACAAGCTTCTGTGATCCATGCTGCTCCCTGCGCCCTGCCGTGAAAGTTAATTTGGTAAAGCGGACGCATAAGTGTGGATTATGCAGAATGCAGAATGCAGAATGGAACTCGGGGTTTAGTTTTGAATGAAGGACGTAAGCTCAAGTGTTTGTGCATTTTTAAGGGAATGAAATAGCGGCTCCGGATGTGATTCATCCCCTCGACGCAGCGCAGAGTTCACAGCCTCAGAAGCTTATTCAAAACTGGCGGACAATGCAGCAGCACCACCCGATTCCCAGTTACAACCGCTTAGTTTAGAGGCGTGTGCTGATGAAGTGGTGTGATGGCACATCTTTGTAAAATAGAATGTTTTGCATCATAATATAAGCGTTGGCACCCGTCGTCCTATGCCAGAGTAATTTGGCAGCTTGGATTTCTTATCCCAGGCCCGTTTATTTAGCGTATTGGGTGGTCTCTCTAGTGTGTATGTTTCTCCCATGACTGTCTTTAATTCTTTTGGGCAGGGCCTAGGCTCCAATGGGGTGAGAAAAAAACCACCATTCAGTGAAGATCTAGTGGTCTTGGTGGTAGTCCCTGATTGGAGCAGAGGTGATGCATACTGCACGCGGCACAAGACGATGTTTATGGTGGTAAAGGTAACCTTCTTTCGCCAAAGATGGACTATCACGCCCAACTTGCCCTAGGTGGTTTCCTTGCTGTACTGGGGTGAGTCCCTGATAAGCGAAAGGCCCAAGTACTGGAGTGTAATAAGGGCCTGCCCAGAGACTCGCCTCTATCAACGAAGGCTGACTGAATCCATGCGCCTCCTTAAGATGCAAACTGGATCTGAGGTCGGTCTAACACAGCTACTTGATCAACAGAAGCGTCAAGAAGTGCTGGGATTCTTCGACCTTGGAACAGTCTGCAACAAACAACTCGGTGTAATATGATGCGTAAAATGCGAGCATACATTTGCCTTTATTTCTATCGAAGATCAACGAGCTCTGATGCATATTAAGCAGCATAAACCCCAGGTTATTTGCCGCGTGGTTATTTGGCCCACATGAAATTCAACTTATGTCCTTAGGAGGGGCCAATAACAGGCCTAATAAACGGGTGTGTTGTTAATGCTCGAATTTTAAACACTCGTATATTTGGAACTGACCCCGCTTCTTTTCTCATCGCTCCGTCTCTGTAACTTTTGTCGGCACCAAAAGTTTAGGCACAAGAAGATTTACCGTCGGCAGCCTGGAGACGGATTCGAAAAATTGCGGTAAGGGTAGGTTTCTCGTGTTTCATCATGAACATGTACTGATGTAGTTGAGTATTAGATAATTCTGCGGTCAGAGCGGTCTTCAGACGTCATGATGTACCCATAGGGTTAGGGTGCAAGATAATAACCACATCTCTCAAACCTGACGCTGAGCACCAATCGCCTCTACCATTCATTGTTGTGATCAGAGAACGCAGATGTTTTTTATGGAATGAATCAGACTCCTGATGTTATCGAGCATTGTGTCGCAATACTAAGGATCCCCAAAGTTCCAAGGCCGTTATCTAAACCTTTTCATTTATTATGATATAAAAGGCCGAGTAGACAATGTTGCTGACGGATTATGATAGGGTTTCAAACATCCCTCTTATGTGACCTCAAGAGAGCTCTCGAAAGGCAGATAATAGTTGGTACGCTCCCATAATATTCGAGTCTCCTTTAGTTTTGCTCTCGACAATAAGAATCCGTTCTTAGAGGTTTTGCTGTATTCGAGGTCCATTATTTTACATATCCTCGATGCTAAGGTTCAGGATATCTTTCAATATAGAATGATATCCACGATGCCAGCCTAGATGTGGCTAAGAGATTGGTGGACGTTGCTGGCTGCGGTATGTGAAACGATCAGACGTCAAAGGTGGATTAAGTCAAAATTCAGCGGAAAGGGGGGCAACCTCCTCCTTTTATTGACCCCTTCCTTCGGGTATGGTGGCAACCATAGATACTTGTGTAGTGTCTCCACTCATCATAAGTCAATTTGGGAAGACTACATGCGCACGTACCCGCGGCTAGGGCTACTGTTCCTTTCACCCCACCTTAATGAACAACTGCACAGTCTACAGGATTCTTCTGCATGCAATACAGTGATGCAACACCTTAATTAAGCGAGAGAGAAACGGAGGGCAATCTATCCTGAAGTAGCTTGAAGGTTGTGCCCCCACTCAGGAATGTTAAGAATCCGGAATGTCTCCAGCGGCAGGATCCAGGGGGTGCATATAAAAGCACTGCTGTTTGACGTCCCGATTTGAGGAAGCAAGTTGCCGAAGAGGAGGAGTGGAGCAGGCTAACGCGTGTACTCACATGTACACATATGTGTGGGAAACAAGCCCCACTTGTTTTACGGTGAGTTCCGTTGGGGACCTCAATGGTTACCATTGCCGTATTCAGGTTCGCTAATTTAAAGTATTGAGCACCCGCCCCGAGAATCAAGATTTGCAGATCAGTTTAGTGCAGCATTGCAAGGCTGGCATGCAAGACATGGCGTGTGTTCTGGCACAAATATCAGACCCCAAATATACTTATCACCGCACTTATTTAATGTTGTGTTTTTAAGGGGGGCGGGGGCCTCAAGACGAGGGGCTTTACAAATAATTCGAGTGCTCTTAAGTTCTCGCCCCCTCTTGACTCCTAACTAGGGTTATTTTTTCGCAACTGATATATCCAGGTATCTATCTATTGCCAGGACGTTGTGTGTGTGTTGCTGTGCTTTGTAAAGGGATGGATCCCAGATCCCGAGCTGCAGCTTTTGCGGGACCTGAGAATTGCGGCACAAATAAATATTATTTCACATCTCTTATCCTGGGGTTTACCAATCATATACATCGCTTCCAGGCCGGAAAAAAAAAATCAGTTATGGATAGGCATGTACCTTACTGCAGGCTTAGCTAACTCCGGCCCGTCTTTTCGCCGACCTTGCTATTTGAACTTGGCCTGGTCTCAGTTAAGGTGTGAATCAAGCAATAACCAAGTTGGAGACGCAGCTGTTGATTCCTGGACCCCACGTTTTTCCAATGTTTGGCATATTGATCAGCTGAACAAACCGCGTAACAATCATCAACGTAGAGTGCACATTCTTGACTAGATAAGAACCTCGAGGGTGTTTTTCGGCAGGCTTCTTCGTTCGAGCAACAGACCCGACAACATTCCAAGAATGTGAACAATGCGGACATCGACCCGCTCGGGAAAATACAGATAATTTAACAGCCCGGCAGACATTCAGCCCAGAGAAACCTGATCTACAAATTGTATTCGTATAATTGATCGGAGATATTTCTTCATCCGCGCAAAAGCATCCCTACTGCTGATCTTCGGGCCTGACCTCACCACACCTCTTCCTGGACTGACGCCAAAATTATTACTGCTGGCTTCTTCTCGAAACGTTTGGATAAAACCTATCGGGAAAGTTAAAGAACTTTCTTGTCAAAGCATCTGGAAACTTTGCGATTTTCTAAAAAGAAAATGAAAAAAAAAGAAAAAAAAAAAAAAACTCGCGGCATCTGAGCGGGAACTCGACCCACGAAGTGGATACTGGGCAACATCAAAGTCCTCCAATAGGTAACCTTGTACGGACGGCCATAAACTTCGTAGGGCCCTCAGCGAATTTAAACCAGAGTGTCTTTTGAAACAATTAATATTATTTTTTTGACTTTATTGTAGCAGAGTTTCGGTCTGGAGGCATCTTCTGACACAAGAGGAATGCTAATTAGTGATGTGCATACCCCAAGAGGATCTTGTCAAAAGATGTCTTACAAACCAAGCTTTTACAGACGTCGAAGACTTTCACAGGTGTAAAGTACGCCATCTACTAAGTTCTCCGAAAGAAGTGTAGTGCATCCTTCCCAAAATAGTTACTTTGCATATGCCATCTCTGTCGTCCAATGATTTCGAAGATTCTGAAACGAAGAAGAGGGGGAATCCCATGGGATCAAGTTATTTCGTGCCTGACTTTGTATGCTGTCTCACTTCTGAATGTCACTAGGCCGCCCGGGATATTCTAATAAGGCTAGTAAGTACTACCCCAGGGTTAGGGTGCTAAATCCTAAATCTCCTAGGCACGTACTGTCAGTCACGTGGTCAGAGGACACACAAGAAGAGATGTAACTATCGTCCAAGATAGAGAACAGCATGGCGGAAGGACATCAGTATATATAGTGATAGGATAGGTGATCACTTGAATATAATCACCATCCTCCTTTCAGTACAAAATCATCCTTCACTTTGATCCACTTTGAAGAACCCGGGCCACAGTACCTACATATACCACCAGTAGGTACTAGGTGACATCACGGCTTTCTCTATCTTGAGTTACAATACCACTCCGACACTGAAATGGCATCCATTCAAGAGGACCCGGTTCAAGACAGACCAACAGAAGAGCGCCAGCGTTTGAAAGAACATTTTTCAATGTATCTAAGCCCTTACCGAGCCCATCTTACCCCGCAATGTTGCTGATTATCCTCGGTTATTAGCCCGCTGGAACAGCACGGAGACAAATGGTCTGAGCTTTGGAATAACGGTGAATTGCCCTGGGATAAGGGAGCACCGAATCCGGCGTTGGTCGATTTACTCGCACAATGGGAGGAACACGATTTCTTTAGATCGCAAGATGCATTGAAGACAAGAAGGAGGGCGTTGGTTCCCGTAGGTTTGGCCAGGTCATCATCTACTATTTTTCTGACTGTTCATTTGTCAATTAGGGATGTGGTCGTGGCTATGATACAAGCTTGCTCTCAACATATGGTTACGACGCCTTCGGTCTCGACATCTCCGAAACTGCCATAAAGGCAGCCAGTGAATGGGTGTCCTTGCAGAGTGAGGAAGAGAAAAACACACAGTCAAAACATTCATTCGAGATGTGGGGACAATCTCATATAGTTTTGGGTGACTTTTTTAGGAGTGATTGGGCCGAAAAGGTGCACTTCGACCTAAAGGGAGGATTTGATCTTGTATATGATTATACAGTGAGTCTAGGTTAGCGATTTGTAACACGCTTGTTTATTAATTACAGTGTAGTTCCTTTGCGCTCTCCATCCAACACTTCGTTCCAAGTGGGCTGCGCGGATGGCAGAACTCATCGCACCGCAACATGGACTGCTTATATGCCTTGAGTTCCCGCTCTACAAGCCTCCAGAGACTGGGGGCCCGCCGTGGGGCCTAACGAGCAAAATTTATGATGAACTCTTGGGAGATAATTTCAAGAAAGCCCTCTTTTATAAGCCTGAGAGGACTCACAAGGTTGGACAAGGTTCAGACTATGTCAGTGTTTGGAGGAGGAAATAATTCTAGAGGTTGAGGGTTGATACCCCGTAAATGCTTGGTGCTACTTATGTGTATCTTTGGCTTAGCCCAGTGTGTACAAAGAGCTCGTTGATGCGGTTTAAATACTTTTAAATGATAATCAGGTCAATCAGGACTATTCAAACATACCCAACATTTTTGACATGAAGTATAGCTACACGAGAACATCTATACTTAGCTGGTGAGAGACTCTGTTCGAAACCTGTAGAGTTAATCATTTATACCGATCAAAGTATGTAGATTTTAATATTCTATACGCTCCTCGGTATTAAACTTTCTATAAGCACCGCACTAAAAGATCCTTGAGGGAATTCTGAATAATGTTAAAACCCAACGAGGCTATATACGTATGTGTCATTGTTCCGTACCAGGTGGTAAACAAACTTTGACAAATTTACTGCTCATGCAGACATAGGGTTTTCGATTTCGTTCCTGGCTTACAATTGAAGTACCACAAGAAAGATTATCTCATTGGTACTACGTACAAATCTGCTTTACAATATTTAAACTAAACTTGACTGGCTCTTTTCAAAATAAGTGCCTCCTTTGACTTAAACATAACCTACCAACTCTGTTACCTCTGTGAAATAGATTCACGGTATAACTGTAGGTATGTCCTTACAACAGATGAGCTAAAGGTCTCGTACGTTATACCCGATAAAGCCATCTCCCAAAAACCACCAACCAATTCCTCTCCATGCTCTCAATCGGCCATTCACCACGATGTACTCCGACATAAAACTTCAAAGCGTCATCATCCGGTATGAAACATTCAACCATTGCAAGAATTGATATAGCGAAAAATGTGAATGCTGTGAATGAAACCAAGTCCCTAATTATAATGCGGCAGAGATACTTGTAGCCATGCGTCCTATATGATTCCCATAAACTTAGAGCTACTATTCCAAAGAGGAAGTAAAGAATTAAGTTCCAAAACGAATGATATAACCAGGAGAAAAGAAATTCAAGTATAGGTTCGAAAGCGACGTTTAACGTATGGTCATCTTGATTATCAGCGTAAATTCTGGGTGCGGTGTTGTTTGAAACGTCGAGATTGAGGTTAATATTATGCAAAACGCTGTAATCTGACGCATAGGATTGGAGGATTATGAGAACGCCAGTGATGAATACGATGAATTCTTTTCCCAACTGACAGATCTGGACAAGAACAAACATATAAGTCACCACGATCGTTGGTGTAACACTCTCAATCATGGTTGACAGAATTTGGGATCCAGCGCTGACTCTATAATCGGTTTCCATGCATGCCTCAACACCCAATAAATAGTCTCGGGAGAGAGGATTTATAATTAATGAGATGTAGTGTACCCGGGTTGTGTCGAATGGGATGAGGTTATTGAAAATGTATCTGATATCTCTCAGCTTGTGGGTGGGCTCTGTCAGATGAGAAGTACACGTAGGATCGTGCATGGCGCATAACAGACACGAAGATCCGTACCTTAGAAGTGCAAAGGTAGGTGGCATCTTTAACTTACAATTGCCAGCACTTAGTTCACAGTATTTTCCGGGGCAACGGCGAACCTGGGTCAATGGCGAATGAGCAAACCAGGACATTCATTAAATTGCTGCTTGCCTAGCTGTAATATTTCACTCAGTTTAGCGATTTCCTACCAAGTTTTGCTTAATTAAGTGGTACTGAAATCTGACACACTGAATGGTGAGCCGCAAAACGCCACAAGTCCTGAATTTGTCACGTCACAGCCCGCGCTGATCTGCCACGTCTGCTGCCCCACGACAACCCTCCCACTAGATTATCTCCAACAACCATATACCCTAGCATAAACCCCAAACCTTTCACCAAAACACGACTCCTATACAATCGCATATCCGGTATAGATAATCATGGCAGCTGCAAGCATCGACGCAGATCTTGACCCTCTCGAACCCACTCTCCAGTCTATACTTGACCAGAAGTCACTACGGTGGATCTTTGTTGGAGGCAAGGGAGGTGTTGGAAAGACAACAACATCATGCTCGCTCGCCATTCAGCTTGCACAGGTGCGCGAAAGCGTCCTGCTGATCTCGACGGATCCTGCGCACAACTTGAGTGATGCGTTCAACCAGAAGTTTGGGAAAGAGGCGAGAAAGGTCGATGGGTTCGACAATCTGAGTGCGATGGAGATTGATCCCAATGGAAGCATTCAGGAGCTTATAGAGAATGGTACGATATAATACTGTGCCATATAAGTTTCTGCAACATCCAGGGATTGTAGATGAAGATAGAGCTGGTTCGGGACTTTTACTAACGAAGCCGGTGGTGTGTAGCTGAAGGAAATGCAGCAAATCCTTTGGGGAGCATGATGCAAGACTTGGCTTTTAGTGTATTTATTTCAAACTCTGCTTATATGGAAGAAATCGAGCTAAACATATAATGGTTTTCTAGATCCCTGGTGTGGATGAGGCAATGTCCTTTGCCGAAGTTTTAAAACAAGTTAAATCTCTCTCATACTCTACCATCATCTTCGATACCGCCCCAACAGGTCACACACTACGTTTCCTTCAATTCCCAACCGTTCTCGAGAAGGCTCTCTCAAAGATCTCCCAGCTGAGCGGGCGATTCGGGCCAATGCTTAGCGGGATCCTGGGATCCCAGGCAGGTGGAGCTGGCGGAGTCGAGGAAATGATGGCAAAGATGGAGAGTATGAGAGAAGTTATCGGCGAGGTCTCAAAGCAGTTTAAAGACCCCGATCTTACAACGTGAGTATTGTATTCCTAAGGGTAACTGTCTGTGACTAACCTGATAAACCAACAGCTTTATCTGTGTGTGCATTCCCGAGTTCCTTTCACTTTACGAAACCGAGCGCATGATTCAGGAACTCAATAACTACCAAATCGACACACATTGCATTGTCGTCAATCAGCTTCTTTTCCCGCAGAAGGGCTCAACTTGCCCTCAGTGCAATGCTCGAAGGAAGATGCAGAAAAAATACCTGGAACAGATCGAGGAGCTATACGAGGACTTTAACGTTGTCAAGTGCCCTCTACTGGTTGAGGAAGTGCGTGGCAGTGACAAGTTGAAGAGCTTCTCAAAGATGCTTGTCGAGCCATTCATTCCCCCAGAAGAGGATGTGGATGAGGAATAAGGGCAATAATGGGTCTGGGTGGTCATTTTTTCTGTTTTTGTGTTATTGTGCTACCTAGCCAAGGCGTCTACGAGATAGAAGGAGTCATACATGTGTTTGCTACTGTAATCTCAATATAGCACATCTGTAGTTCAGTTCATTCATCTAGCATTCGTCCCTAGCCTATGTAAATAACCCGGAACTTGGGAAACGATGTGATGCAAGTTCGGTAATTCGTAAAGGAAGTAATTCTAGCGGTACCATACTAATCTTCAAGGAAGTTTTTTTCTTTTCTTTTGAGGGGTAATGAAAATTTCGCGTTTTGAAATTGACAGTGCCAGTGCCGGAATTCCGGGCGTGATGCGTGATGCGAGCGTGACAAGCAACAATGAATTTTCGATCGAAGGTGGATTGGTCTATTCTAAGCAATTTGGCCGAAAGATTAAAGCCTGGATTCGATCGAAAAATTGTGTAGTGTCCGGTTGTTTTTTTAAAAAATAGTTGAAACTACATTAGACATGTTCTGAAATATGTAGTTTTATGCCCAGCTTGAGTATCAAGACGTCTGTAGTTTATATTATACTAGGATCGCAGGCAGCGATAAAACTAATAAACGTTATTATCTTTGCTCAAGCGATTAGTAGCTTGAGACATGCACACCTTCTTTCAAAGGGCCAGGATGTAGATGCATGTATGTACTATACGTATACCTACACTACATATATGTACTCCACAGCACTGTCAATGATTATATTAATATCGGGACCTTTAAAGCCAGCTAGTGCATATACCGGCTCAGTTGATACGCGTATGTGCATCCAGATCATGGGACGACCTCCCTTTCAGAGAATCATCTTCCATCTAGGCATCAATTCCAGGCCCTCCGCACACAAACACCCGCCCTGGCCGTGGATCAATCAGGGCACGACCAACGCCACATCAATCAAGGATTCGACCGGATCTGTTTGTGAAAGCTCCCTCCACACGGAGGGGAAACAGAGTTTCAGGCCACTGCTTGAGACAGGCGGCCGGGGGAAACACTCGACTTTTTTGATCACCGGGCCGGGATTCTAACCATTCTGGAGCTTGGGCCAATGGGGTTGTAGATTGAAGGGTTGTTTGGACAACTCCGGTCATTCACGCGGCCGTTGACAAGACGTCTTAGGGCTCGGTTCGGTTCGGTAAAGCCGGGTAGATCGACGTTTGGGGTTGGGGTTGCTTCTTCTCGACGTTCCTTGATCAGATCTAAGACAGGAAGTGAGTGAGTGACAACTTGTGGAGGACATGTACCTGGAGGTACATACATTTGTATGTACTCTGTGCCGTGACACAATTGGGGCCAGAGTCACCCATACATCTCGACTCTCTTGTTCCATGTTAATTGTGCTGTTCCTTGCAGTAACGCAGCTGGTCGAACAAAGAAGTGCTTTCTTGAACAAAAGCTATTACTCACATGAACGATGAAGAGGGGCAATCAGCTTGCCGCCTTCCTCGCGGCAATCTCAACCGAATGCCTTTTTGCTATTCAGATATACCAGTCTTTTTAAAACAGCCGAACAGCCGAGTTAAAGAATCTGGATGACGTTACCTTAGTTAGACAAGCAGATCCTACATCTACGGAGCTGTTATCATGAAATGATAACAAACCACTATCAATGGGGGCGTCGAGCTGTATGTATCAGGTACATACCCGCATACTACAGTTGTAGTTAGGTGAGACTGTATATACCTGTCAATGCTATCTGGAGTATAGGTTTGGGCACGCGATCATGGACCATTTAAGATTGAGCTATGGGACCTGGTTACATATCATCCCCCAAGCTCGACAATCGCACTCAAAAAAAAAATCCACTCTTCATGCACAAACTCCATGACCTTGTGGCGTAGATTACCGGAAACGTGTGGTTTACGCAGGTTATCTACCAGGGGAAGGTCTTCGGCAAAGACGGCACCTTGAAAGGGCCAAGAATTTTTTTTCGAGGTTATCAACTAGGGGCCCTCTTCTCAGGATTTCCAATTTATTACGGAGAGGTTATGTGACTGTACCTATTCTATGAAGGGGTTTACGGAAACTACTTATATGGAGCTGTTTTTCTTCTCCTTCTTCTTCTTTTTAGGTGGCCTATCATCATTAAGGAGAATTGGTTCTTGGTTTCTTGGTCTCTTTATTTTTTGTGATTAATCACCAAATATTCTATTCTCATGGAAAAGAGACAATAGTACTTTATTAATATTATACTCCACGACCCTCCAAGAGCGACATCAAATTTGATACCGGCGAAACCAAACAATGGCGCCTGTCCACTCAGACGATATGGGCGAAAAGCCACCCCCAACCTCCAGACCAGCTTCTGACTACACCGAGTCCGTGATATCCTCCTCCTCAATCTCCGAGTCAACTCCGCATGCAGAGGGGGAGGAGCAAACAGAAGCTCCTGTAGCTCGAACGGTCACGGGGAAATCCTCGATTGTCATTCCCAGGAACAAAAGGAGAGGAATGCTCGGCAGGTTTGGGCTGGTGGCGGAGATTGAGAATCCAAAGGACTATGGCACAGGAACTAAGAACTTTATCACTATCCTTGTCGCTGCCGGAGGGGCCGCCGCGCCAATGGCTAGTACTATCCTGTTTCGTAAGTTTACATAATCTCTTTTCTAGCTTACCAATTGTTATAATTCCTCGGGAGTTAGGTGTTTCAATTGTCCTAGTTGGTTTTGAATTGCAATAATGGATATTGAATTGGAGCCAATGCTAATGATTGAATCGCAGCTGCCTTGACGGAGATTTCCGAGAAGCTTCATTCGACCCAATCCCTCACCAATCTTTCGGTAGCTCTCTATATGCTTGCTATGGCCATCTGCCCTCTCTGGTGGTCTGCACTCTCTGAGCGGAGTGGACGTAGGACTGTTTATATAATATCCTTCGCCCTCTTTACGATTTTTGGAGTCTGTTCTGCTGTTTCGGTAAATATTGGGATGCTCATTGCATTCCGAGTGCTGTCTGGGGCATCGGCCAGTAGTATGCAAGCTGTTGGTGCCGGCACTATTTCTGATATCTGGGATGTGAAAGAGCGGGGGAGGGCCATGGGATGGTTTTATCTGGGACCTCTGTATGTGATATCAACTCTACTTCCTTCAAGAATTGTTACTAATATTTGTGGATTTAAAAGATGTGGTCCACTTTTCTCACCCGTTATCGGTGGTGCCTTGACAGGACGTTTTGGGTGGAGATCAACGCAATGGTTCCTGGCCATTTACGGAGTGGTGCTATGGTTCATGATGCTGTTTGGTCTCCCGGAGACGCTTCGAAAGAAGCCAGTGCCAAAGGTTTCTTTGGAAAAGGAGGGTGATAATGTGCTGGAAAGAAGCGTGTCCAGAGTCTCTATCAAGAAGGCCAAGGAATGGACTGTGACTGCGAGACACATATTCATCGATCCCCTCAAGTCTCTGCGATATCTGAAGTTCCCACCAGTTCTTTTGACTGTCTTCTATGCCAGTATGACTTTTACCTGTTTGGTATGTCTCCCATCCCACCAGCTTGGTTAGAAACTTTGTTAACCGGTTGTCTGAATAGTACGTCCTCAACATATCCATCCAAACCACCTTCTCAAAATCACCTTACAACTTCCACGTCATCATCGTCGGTCTCCTCTACATCCCCCCCTCACTCGGCTACGTCGCCGGCTCCCAAGTCGGCGGCCGCTGGTCCGACACCATCATGAAGCGTGCCGCCCACAAACGCCGCGCGGCAGCCAGCCTAGAATCCGGCATACCTGAAGACGCACCCTTGGAATACCGGCCTGAGGACCGAATGGGCATCAATGTTCTGATCGCGGGCATGCTGTATCCGTGTGCAATTCTGTACTACGGATGGATGGTGAACCAGGGATACTACTGGCTGGCGCCAATGGTCGGGACAACGTTCTTCGGATTCGGCAGTATGTTGGTGTTTGGGGCATCGACGACCATGTTGACGGAGTTTGTGCCGGGGCGGTCGAGCTCGGCGGTGGCGGTGAATAACTGTGAGTTTACATCTTTTGGCATATTTGAATGCGGGCACTGATGCGGTGCAGTTATAAGGAACATTTGTGCGTGTATTGGAGGTGTGGTTGCGGAGCCACTTATTGTCGCCATTGGGAATGGGTGGTTGTTCACCATTCTTTCGCTGGCGGGACTGTGTTCGCTGAGCACTGTGTGGATCATGCGAAAGGTAAATCTCCCATTTCAGTCATGTACCGATTGCAGAAAGCTAACCGACCCCGTTCCTACAGTTTGGTCCCAAGTGGAGAGCCGAGGTGCACAAGTACAACCTCAACTAATCGCCAGAGTGAGGAAGGGACCTTTTTCTGAATATATATATATATATATATATATATTTTCTTTTTAGTCTAATTAATAGAGTGAGGGATGGAGTGGAGGGTCGGGTTTGGTTATGTTTATTGTTTTTTTTTTTCCTAAAAAGTCTTCTTATGATTGCTTACGACTCTGTGTTTTCCTCTCCTCATTAGCGGTTTCTTCTTCGTTTTAATACCTTACTGTATGATATTTGCATGCTGCGTCGTGAAGTGTAGATGAATGTATGAATGTTAATGCCTGCCTGACCCTGCCCGCCGTTCCGACTCGTGTGACACCACCGCCTGCAGCTGCCCGAAGTGCACTTTGCTGCAGAGTGAGAGTGAGAGTGAGAGCCGGTGCTCGGCACGCAGGGTTAGGTGTGCTGCTGCTGCTGCTGCTGTGTAGAGCACAAGCCTCGGTACTCGGCTGCACCCCAAAGCTCAGCTGCCAGCCAGCCAGCCAGAACCTGCCGAGTACTAAGTAGTAGATAACTCTCCGCACTCCACACAGCACCCGCAACCCCCAATCGCAGCTATATCCACTTTCAACCTCAATTACAGCTTCACCCCCCCATAACCCTCAAATCCTCCAATTCCCCTCCCCCCCCCCCATAATCCCCAGATAACCCCCCCCCACCCCCCCCACAATGGACATCCCCACCCTCTTCTCCGTGCGCAACAAAACCGTCCTCATCACAGGCGGCGGCAAAGGCATCGGCCTCATGATCTCCCGCGGCTTCATCGCAAACGGCGCCAAGGTCTACATCACCTCCCGCGACGCCCCCGCGCTCGCCGCCGCCTGCGCCTCGCTCAACGCCCTCGGCCCGGGCACGGCCCACGCCATCCCCGCCGACCTCTACAAGCTGTCCGACTGCGAGGCGCTCGTGCAGGAGCTCGGGCGGCGCGAGGAGAAACTGCACGTGCTGGTGAACAACTCGGGGAGCAACTGGGGCGAGGGATATGATAGCTACCCCGAGGCGGCCTGGGACCGCGTCTTGACGCTGAATCTGAAGAGGGTGTTTACGCTTACGCAGATGTGTACGCCGCTGTTGGAGCGCGGGGCGGTGAAGGGGGTGGATGGTGGCGTCGTGGGGGATCCGGCGCGGGTGGTGAATATTGGGAGTGTGGATGGGATTGCGGTGCCGGCGTTGCAGACTTTGTGAGTTCTGTCTTGCCCGGCCGGGGGGTGCCGGTGCCGGTGTGGTGTGGTGTGTAAGGGGGTGCTAATGCGTGACGGGCAGTGCATACTCCGCCAGCAAAGCGGGCCTCCACCACCTCTCGGAGGTGCTCGCGCACCATCTCGGAAAGCGAAACATCACGTACTTACCCCCCCCCCCCCCCTTCCTCCCAAATTCCCCCTCCCCCCTCCCTTCCTCCCCCATAACTAACACCCCACCAACAGCGTCAACACCCTCGCCTGCGGCCCCTTCGAAAGCAAAATGATGGCGGCAACCCTCAAGAAGATGCGCAGCCACATCGAGGCGTCGATCCCGCTTGGCCGCATCGGCACGCCCGAGGACGTGGCCGGCTGCTGCCTCTTCCTTGCCAGTCGCGCCGGCGCGTATGTTAATGGGGCGACGATCACGGTGGATGGTGGCGGGGTTGTGAGTCCGAAGTTGTAGTGTGAGGAGGGGGTAATGATGTGTATGATATGGTTATTGTATAAGCGGGTGCTTGTCTTTTATTTGGTAGCAATTGGCACTACAATAGCAATTAGTCGGCCGCATGCGGGCAGGGACAATTGAAATCGACACTATATGGCCCAAAGTAGACTAGTGCAAACCTTAAATCAAAAAAAAAAATTATCAACCGAAAAATCATTTCCCTCCCGCCGGCTGGCTGTCTCGAGCCGTCCGCTCTTCAACATGCTAACTACCACTTGAAGTACTCAACCGGATCGGATGAAGAAGAGGCAGGGATCAAAAAAGATTGTTCGAGTATCGACATCGGCAGGATTTGAACCTACGCTCGCGAACGAAACAGATTTCTAATCTGTCGCCTTAACCACTCGGCCACGATGTCTTGGAGGTTGGTTGGTAGAATGTAATAATTGAAATTTACAAAAAGGTGTAAGGTGGTAATGATCGTGTTGTAGGTTTTGCGGGGCGGTGGGTGGGTGGGCGGGTTGTCGGGTGGGGTGTTGGGCGGGGTTGTTGTTGTTGACTCGTTGATTGTGTCACAGTTAGGATGGAAGCGGGGTGAGCCACGGTGTGATGAGCACGGGGTTGTAGAGTCTGCGGTGGCCGGCCGGGTACATATAGGTACACTAAAGTACGTGCCCGTTGGGGAAACAGGCGGACTGCAGATGGTGACACTTTCTACCACTGAACGGTTCTTTCCTCCCAGTTCACTATCAGAGAAGCACTCAGCCGGGTGTAAACAGCTCTTCGTGGTAAGGTTAAACCTATGCCTGCTAGGATCATAAGTATCATCCCCGTACAAGGGGGTGTCGGGGGGGTTGTTCCAAGCTCCAATTGTTAGATCCTCGCTCCTCTAGGCTCCCCCCTTGTTATTGGAAGAGAGACGAATCATAAGCGGCACACGGGGGGGATTGGCACCAACGGTGGTATTCTACAGTTTTTATTGGGCGTAGGTATATATAGCCAGGGCATGTGTTGTGGTAGGAGGGGGGTTTGAGAACCACTGCTCGTTCTGCGGCTCGAGCTCGAGATTTATACTCTCAGGCTATTTACTAGAACAGCGCCATGAGGAGTGATGCGCGGCTGCCGAGTGAGTGCCCATGAACGGGTCCATAGGTTCCTACGAAGTCCCCCACGCCCAATGATCTCCTGTATTAGAACTAACCAATCATCCCACGTGTCACCATGCCATACGGCCGCCGAGTGAGCGCGCATGAACAAGCCTACTCCTACCAATTAAAGGCCCCCCAATCCCCCCCCATCTCAATCGAAACTAACGAAACAGCCCCCACGCCCCATCACAGTTAATGATACGGTTACTATTATGTACCGAGTGAGCTCCAATGAACGGATCTCTCCCCACGAAAGGGCCAATTCAATAATGTAGGCACTAACTCCGCCAAACCAGATCAACTAAACCAACCAAGCAGCCCCCCACGCCCATCACAGAAACTGATACGGCCACCGAGTGAGCACCCATGAAGTGACACAAACAAGCTAGTCCATCCCCACAAAACCCTCCCTCCCTCCCTCCCTCCCTCCCTCCCTCCTGGATACAACGTACTACATGAAACCCAACACTTCTCCACTCCAGATCTTGTGACGACCGAGGAAGTACTGCTAGTAGGTCTCCCAGTCCCAGGTCGCGCGCGTCATGGGATATGATGCGGCTACCGAGTGAGTATCCATGAACGAGTCTATTTCTTTTCTTTCGCAAAGGGCTTTCTCTTTTGGATTGGGCTCGAAGTATGTCATGTAGCGTAGGCTAGGCCGTAGAAAAGAAATAAGGCTTGAAGAGTTTTATCCTGGTCCTGTCAGCGGGAGCTAGTGCTAGCCCGACCTTAGTATAAACACGGCACAACCCACCATCACGAACCCGCACCACAGGCCCCCGAACAAAAGCCCACGAAGATTCAAGCCTCTCTCTCAGCATATGTAGAACATCTGCAGACAATTGAAAACAAAATCACCAAGCGTAAACCCCCATAACAGCGCCTTAAACCCCAGTCTCAAAAAAAAAAAAAACAGCGACCAAAAAGCAACAACAGACCCACCCACAAGCCCGCAATGGACTATAAGAGAGACCCGAGTTGTCTACGACATCGGCAGGATTTGAACCTACGCTCGCGAACGAAACAGATTTCTAATCTGTCGCCTTAACCACTCGGCCACGATGTCCTGCTGTTCGCCTTCCCCACAACCTTCTTCCGGCGGCTACGACCACTACTGCTGCTCACTGTGATGGCAGGCCGAGAAAGAAAGAAAAGAAATGCATTGCTACTTTTGACTACTACTACAGGGCATTATAAAGAGAACGCAAGAGAAGTATCTATGCCTTCTTCTTCGCCCGCTGTTGTAGCGCCAGTAGAGACAGCGAGCCCCTCCAGCGTCCCCAGCACCTCCATGTCCTCCATATCCTTGATATCCTTCGCGCTCCACACCATGCCATCACACCACGTACACACCGTCCTCGCCCATTTCCCCTAGCACCCACATTAACCCCCGCATCCCCGCCAAAAAGGGAGCAAAAAAAAGGGAAAGAGAGCAAGAGAGAAAAACTCACAACCAAATCCCAGCGATACAGCTCCCTCGTCGGGTTCTCGTGGCACAGCAGGCACAGGCGGCCGCCGACGTACCAGCGGGCGTCGACGCAGCCCTGGCAGATCCACGTTGTGCTGTCGCACGTGCAGGGCGGGGGCGTGGTGGGGTGCGGCGGGCGGGCGCCGCAGGACAGGCAGGGGGGCACGGAGCGGCAGTCGAGTGTTGCTTTTGAGGGCTTGTGGACGCAGTTCTGGGGGTGGGGTGTTATTGGTTATTGGGGGTTGTGAGTGGAGGGGAGGGAGGTGGGGTTGTGCGGGGGGGTTGTGGATTTTATATATATACTCAGGTGGATAAGTATATATATATATATATATATGTGGAGAGAGAGATAGGGTGGTGTGGGGGGTGGGAGTGGTATATGGATATTATATATAGTCAGGTAAGTATATATAGAGAGGAGAGGGCGCAGGAGAAAGCAGTATAAAATAAAGGCTGTATCAAAAAAGCACCCACCCTACAATACGGCCTCCCACACCCCCTACACCCCGCCACCATATCCCTCACACACCTACTCCCACCCCTAAACCTACTCCACTCATGCGCCCCCCTCTCCCTTCCCTCGCCCCCCTCCTCACCCCCCACCGCGCCCGCCCCATCATTGCAGCACCTCAAGCTCGCGCGCAACAGCCCCCGCCGGTACTGCCCCATGTTCTCGCGGAACTGCCAGCACGCCGCGCTCAGGTTCTCGAGATCCGTGTGGTCCAGCCACTGCGCCATCCCCGCCAGGAACGGGTACGCCGCCAGCAGCCGCGACAGCGGGTGCTCCCTGTTGAGCCGTTCCTCGCAGGCCACTGTGCTGCGAGTGGTGGTGGTGGTGCTGCTGTCGTTGGGGGGGTGGTGGCTGGCGGAGAGGTCGTAGAATAGCACCATGATTGGGACTTGGATCTAGTATGGGCTTTGAACGTGGGAATTGCAGTGTTATATTTCGGGATTGATTGTTCTACATGCAGTACACGGGCAGTGATATCATCAAGTGATATCATTCCAGCAGCAGACGCAGCCAGCAGAGGTTCACAGAGGCTCACAGCGCTTCCATGCTGTTCCTTTTGCTCCCTTGCATGTGCTGCTGCCAGGGTTAGGGGTGGGTTGGGAACTTGTGCAGCGGGGGGTTGCCTTAAAGTCAGCAAGAGACCCAACACCTCCATCATCCCCCACGATACCCCAAAACACCGCAATTGAGATAGCGATGGACGACCTGCTCGCCCGCCACCGCAAGGAGCTCCGCGACCTGACCTCGCGCACCACGCAGAAGAAGAAGGCGGCCACGAAGAAGACGCGCAAGGGCGTCAACGCCGAGTGCGAAGCCCTCGAGCGGGAGCTGAAGGGGCGCCACGCGCGCGAGGTCGCGGAGCTCGAGAACCCCGGTGGTGCCAGTAGAGACGGGAACCTCGGAGAGGAAGAAGAAGTAGAAGACGACGAAGCAGCTGCAGCAGCAGTGGAAGAACCAGCAGCCCCAGAGACAGAGACAGCCTCAGAACCACCACCAACCCCCAGTACAGACCCCGACCCCGACCCCGCCCCCGCCCCCAGCACCAAGAAGCCCCACCGCCGCAAAGCCCAACTCGCCCGCCGCAAAGCCCAACTCGCCGAAGCCGCCGACCAAGCCGCCGCCACCGCCAGCGCGCAGCCCGACCTGCGTGGTCTCGAGCTGACGCAGATGGCTTCGCAGCTGCGGTCGCTCAGCTTGACAGAGGTCGAGATCGCGCCCGACGGGCACTGCCTCTACAGCGCGTTCGCGGACCAGGTCGCGGGGGCGCGGGACTACCGCACCGCGCGGCGGCGCTGCGCCGAGTTCATGGGGGGGCACGCGGCGGACTTTGCGCCGTTCATCGAGGGGGATTTCGGCGAGCATGTGCGGCGCGTGGGGGAGACGGCGGAGTGGGGGGGGCAGGCGGAGGCGCTGGCGCTGGCGAGGGCGTTCGGCGTGCAGGTGAATGTGGTGCAGGCGCAGGGGAGGGGCGTGGAGAGGATGAATGAGGGGGCCGAGGGCGGCGAGGTGTGGTTGGGGTATTATAGGCATAGTTTTGGGCTGGGGGAGCATTATAATTCGCTCAGGAAGAAGAAGGAGGCGGGGAGTTAGGGCTGGGCTGGTGGGGGGGGGATGAGGGGGTATATAGATACTACTGGGAGAGCTTAGATTGATGGTAATGGGATAAAAGATCACTAGAACTACTTTGTATTTAATAGAGGAATGGAATTGACTATTGATGTCGGACAGAATTGACTAGATTGATTGCGCGGGGGTTTTTACAAATAAAAGCAACTGATCATTGGCAGCACATATCCGGCAAGCAAACGCAATTTAATCATTGACAGCAATATTATCCCACAAGCAAACACAACTAAAAAATCATTGACACCTCCACGCTACAAAAGCGCCCCAACTCCCAACCTAAGAATCCCCATCCTCCTCTCTTCCATCTAACCCCTCCCATCCAACCTCTAACCTCTAACCTCCAACCTCCCCCACCCCCCATCCTCCTCCATCCAACCATCCAACCCCTCTCCCTCCTCCTCCTCCTCTACGACCCCCGATACGTCGTATAACTATACGGCGCCAGCAGCAACGGAATATGATAATGCTGCCCCGCATCCTTCACCGTAAACACCACCTCCACATAGGGGAAAAAAGTCTCGCCACCAAAATACTCCCACGTCTCAAAGCGAATCTTGTACGTAAACCCCTCCTCGACAGCCAACCTCCCCGCGGCGCCCTTCTGCCGCGTCTCCCACGCCGCCACGCGGCCGTCGGCGTTTGTGAGCGCGCGCGCAACCTCGAACGACGACGACGACGGCGTGCCGTCGTCGAGCTTCAGGAACCGCGACAGCGTGCAGGGGATGCCTGGCGCGGGCTTGCCGGTGCTGGTGTTGAGGACGTGGCAGGTTACGGCGGGTTTGGGGGTGGGCGTGCTCATGATGTGTGTGGTGATGGAGGCGAGGCGGGAGGATGCTGTGGTGGTGGTGGTGGTGGAGGGGTTGGGTGTGCTGGTTGTGTGGGGTACTGCGGGGGGAGGGGGAGGGGGAGGGGGAGGGGGAGGGGGAGGGGGAGGGGGAGGGGGAGGGGGAGGGGGAGGGGGAGGGGGCATTGTGGGCGGTGGTGGAAGGGGGGGGGTGGCGGGGTTTATATGCTCTCGATCTCCCGGGCCGTGTTTGATGGTGTGCTGGTGGAATCTACAATCTACCCGTCTGGCTGCATGTATGATACCTACTCCCACACACACACACACACTCGATCTCTCTCTCCTCTTCAATTCTCTCAGTTCACTCAATTCATTCACTGACCGACTGCGCCCCAGGCAGGCCCATTTAAATAAAGCCACCGCCCAATTCCCTTCCCCCGCCGCGTCTCGGCGGCTGCCGAAGCCGACCCTTATCGGCACCGGCCACACTACGTCATCGAGTGACTCCCGATGCAGCACGGTTTCGCCGGCCAATCGGGATTTTGTGTCATACAATGTGACTCGGCGACCGGTATTCATGACATCGTGGCCGAGTGGTTAAGGCGACAGATTAGAAATCTGTTTCGTTCGCGAGCGTAGGTTCAAATCCTGCCGATGTCGATACTTGAATATACTCTTTTGATCTGTGGATCTGGAGCTGGCATGGGTGCTTGGGCTTGGTTGGCTTTTTTTGTATTAGCGAGGAAGGAGGCGGGTGGGGGTCTTCGGATTTTGATCCCTTTTTTTTTTTTTTTTTTTTCGGTTTCGGTGTTTGGTTGGGTGACAAGGTTGCTCGTGGTCATGATCTATCACTCGCTTGGGATAAAGTTGCAGGTGCTTCCCCCCCCCCCCCCCAACTTCCTCCCAGCTTATTCCCACAACCCCTACTCCTACTCCCAGGCCGAAACATAACAAACAACCCAATCCACTACCCCGCACTTGCATCTCGCCGCAAAGCATTCTCAATAAACCAAACAAGAGGAACCACCCCACCCTGGTAGGCCCGGGGGGAGGAACTTTGACCATGGACTATCCTGGCGGTGTAGTCCCCCTTCTTCCCCGGTTGTGCTGGGAAACCTGGGTGAGTTATCTGCTGTCTTAAGCACCCCAGGACGCGAGTTTAACTGGACGGCATCTACGATGGTGGTAGGGTGAGGTCCGGGATGGTGGGAGAGAGCCCCCCCCCCCGGGGGGGGGGGTGAAAACTAGAACTATAACGCCACTTTGGGTCTCTGTTACTATCTTCCGAGAAGCGAGGACACACTACATTTCCCCATAAAGTAAAGTAGTGGAATCCACAGCTCTCACTACCCATCACTCGCCCCCTCTCCCGAAGTCCTGTGCTATACTTGCGGCTTACCAAGCAGCCAAGCACTCCCATCCCGCAGTTCTCCGTGGCGCAATTGGCTAGCGCGTTCGACTGTTACAGAGACAGAATCCCCCCCTCCAACCAAGGGGACTAGTCTCTTCTGCAATCGAGAGGTTGACAGTTCAAGCCTGTCCGGGGAAGCACCTCATTTTTTTGGTTGGTTGCGGTTGGGTTGCCAAGAATTTTTTTTTTTCTTCACAACGACAAGGGCGATTTTGATCCAACAACAATTTTTTTTTTATTGAATTTCTGTTACGATAGAACGAGACGACGGTCTCTGACGCTTTAATTGAAGCTTTCCTTGCCTGTATGATGCCTCATATCCAGAAGGGGAGGGGCGGGCGCCCGGGGGGGGTTACATAATAATATACAACGTAAGGATTTGGGAAGGAACTCAATTCGCACACACGAAAAAAATCAAGCAGACATGCAGAATGGAGAGAGAAAGAACAAAAAAAAAAGGATACAGATATATCGAATCGACTCAGCCGACAAAAAAAAAAAAAGACCAACGTAACTTAACGGATAGGTATCTTGCCATATATGCCCGCCGCAGTGAAAATAGAACAGTAACAGTAACAGTAACAATATGATGGGGAATGATGAATGATATGAGATATTGGTACAATGCAAAAGTACCCCCCCTCCCGTTCCCTCCCCACACCCCGCACCCCCAAAAATGGCCGAAACAACTCGAAACAGAAAATACAACTCCTTCATGCTAGTATCCATGCATGTATGACCCATGCACCGACATTCCCGCTACTCTTGCTAAAAAATCAAAAACCAAGAAGAAGAGAATAATAAGAAAAAGAAGAAGAGAAAGAAAATAGGGATGGTAAATCACTCGTCCCCGAAAAAAGAAAAAGAAAAAAAAATGGTAAGAAAAAGCCCCCTTCAATTATCGCGACATTCATGGTCACCGACCCATCCCGTCTTTTCCATCATTACTCAGAACAAAAGCAAAAACCCATGGCAACGTCGCAGCATTAATACCTCCTACGGGTTCTACCCAGGTTCGTAGACCCGATGTTGATCATACTCATCTCCTGGCTCAACAAGTAATCCTCCCTGCTTAACTGGCCATTTCCGCCTGGGATTGGGATCTTCGCCGGGATTGGGGGCCCTGAGGTGGGGGCACGCGATGCTCTTGAGGTAGGTGCATATGAGGCGACCTCCATTCCAGTATATCTTGGCTCTTCGTATCCGTAATTTTCATAACCCTTTGAAGGGACGAGAGCCCGGGAGTCTCTGTTCCTGTCCATATCTTGACGGCGCTGCTCCCTCTCGCTCTGGGGGTTGTACATTACCATGGCTCCAGGAACCATGGAGTGACGGTTCCTGCTAGTACCCTCCTGTCTCGAGCCCGAACTGTTACTTGGGACGAGGGCCATGCTCAGCGAGTTCCTGAGCTTCTTCTTCCTCTCCCGCTCCCTGTCTCTGGGGGCCTCGACTGCGCTGTCGTTGGGATTTACGAACTCTCTTTTTGGCACAGAAGGAGGTGGGGGAGGTAGAGCCAATCTCTCGGCCTTTTTTGGCGGGAGAGGGCTCAAGCTGCGAAGAACTCTCTCCTTCCTGTGATTAGCAGGAACTTGTGGAGGAGGACGCGGGCTGCGCTTCTTGAGCTCTGGTTCCGGTGCAAAGCTCTCAGGGGGGAGAATATCAGTTGCGTCAAGAACACGGTTGGTACCAGGACTGATCATCTTCTTGGGCTTCTTGGACTCTGCTTGAACAGCTGGGCCAGGGTTGATAATATTGAAGGAGTCAGGTGAAAATGGAAGCCCCTCCAAGGGCTTTGGTGAGGGCGGTGGTACCGGCTTCCTCTCGGGAGCAACCATCATTGAATTCCTCTTACTGATACTAGTAGTCGCCTCAGCCATGGCCCCCGCGTTTCTTTCACCATGAATTGGCATCGGCTTGACCATTGGTGCTGGCCGTTGCTTCTTCGTTCGTTCAATAACCTGATCTTCTGGTAAGAGCTGCGGTTGATAAAGCGCAACATCCTGGACTTCCTCCACCTGAGGCCGATGGTAGTTCTTGCTGGATACGTGTTGCATTTGACCCCCCATGTGTGGCGTAGATGCATTGAGATGAAGCAGAGCAGCAACCTCAGCAGAAGCTGCTTCATTGAAGCTCAATCTCCTCTCCCTCGCAACTCTTTCTGTCTCTTCCTCCGGAACAAATCCAGGGACGAGACTGGGCGGAATTGGCACACCGTTCCTACTGGGCGGGATATCCCTGCCCCGAGACGGTGCTCTTTCTTCAAGACCAAAAGCAGCCATTTGCGCGTGTGCGTCGTCGTAAGCGGGAGTACTTTGCTCCATGAACGAACGTAGTGGCTTGACCTGCCAATCAGGTTCTTCCATACGCGTCGGAGCGGGCTTACGGGCGTGGGGCGGCGGCGGCGGTGGTGGTGGGTCATCATTGTTCCTAAGACTGGCCTGTGAGCTGGTAGGTGTAGATCCAAACGAAAGACCAGGAATCTCGTCCTCGGGACGTATCCCGTTGTATTCTTGGTGTCTTGAGCGCCTATTATGGTGCGTGTTTGGAGAAGGAGCGGGTCGATCGTCATACTCCTCAAACCCTTGCTGGGGAGGGAACTCATTCTGGGGCCCGGGATAAGAACCACCATACTGGTCAAACTGCATTTCCGGCGAGTCGATTGGGTTGTTCTGCTGGTAGTACTGCCAATCTGGCACACTTTGATAATGTCTCAGTAGAGACTTCTGTCTCCGGTGACCCGAAACATTTCCCTGCTGGCTTTGCTGCTGGGATGGAAGGACAAGCTGAGTAGCAATATTTGTCGCCGAATGATGGCGCCCATCTCCCTGATAACTTCTCGAGTGTAACGGTGGGGGCGGAGGAGGTGTCTGATGACCGTTTCGGACATCTGGTTCGTCGTATTGACCCAACATATCCATACCCGGAATATAGCTATCATGTTGACCATATGGGTCATAAATTTCATTCCCAGGGTTCACAGCGGCAGGCGTCATGGCGATTCCTCCTCTGTTATTCGGGAAACTAATTGGTCTTGAACCCCTCATCTCTCTATGATGAGCTCGCGGGTCCGAATGGTGGCTTTGGTGAACCTGCGGGTGGTGGGAATGCCTTGACCTCCTCGTCGCACGCGCAGGCTCTTGAGACTGTTGAGATGGCAAACTCAAGTCCTCTCTCGAGAGACTTGGGTCTGACGGTAGCGGTCTCCTTTTCGGTATCCTCTCCCTTGATCCCATCTCTCGCGCTCCACCAAGCTTCCTCATCGGATCCCTTCTCCTCTCCTCAACTTCCCTCTGCTTAACGACCGATGTCTCGTCAGTCCTCTTCTGCGTTTCCGGCGTCGGCCTCATGTCCCAGAACGTCAATTCGACCAAGATTTCTCCTGCGTATTTGTCCTTGCACTTCAGCCCCCTCCAGCCATCGTCGGTTCCACCGCCGGTCACCAGAATCTTGTCGAGACGTATGCTGCACTCGCCAATTAGGTCGGTCTTCTTATCGTCGTTAAACACGGTGATCTTGAGCTTCCTATAATCCGGTGAGTTGCGCACAGGGAATCGGAGTTCCTTATCCCTACAAACAAAGATAAACCCGTTAGAAACAAACACGGGCCCGAGTGAAGTCCTGTTGCGAGACAGAAAAACTCACCACCGCGGTGTTTGACCGCCACGAACATCTGTATCCGTGCGCTTTCCCTCCTTCCCCAGACGTGCAACAGCATACGGATCCTGCTTCCCAATTTTCTTCCGGTTTGGCAAGTTTTTCTATCGCAAAAAATCTCGAGGTCAGCAGAGTTACCCAAAACCAAAGGCGGCACCAACCAATGACAAAAAACGGGGTGGAGCACGGTGACGGCGGCGGTTGGAATAACGGTCCGGGTACTTACGGCTTTGTCTAAAACCACAATGAGTGTACCAATTACCGGCCCATCTATTGAAAGATCAGACCAAATTCCGGCGGGATGCGCTTCTTTTATCCCGGCCCGAACCATCTTAGCTTTCTATGCTTCTGTTTTTTTTTTTTTTTTGTTTTCTTTCTTTCTTTGGTAAGCTGCTCAAACACGGGCAGCAAGTCTCTTTATTTCCAAACTCAAAACCACACAGCTTCGAAGGGATGTGTTCAAAGTTGGAGGGAGGTAGAGGAAAAGAGGGTTGCGAGGGTAAAAAGACGTATTTAAGGGAATCCCAGTTTTCTTGAAAAAAAGGCTCGAGATGTAAAAGGTAAAAATAAAAGAAAAAAGGCCGGAGGAATGATGCAGTAAAGAGTAAAGCGAGAAGGGTATACTAGGAGCGTAGAGCAAGTACAAACGGCGTGCAGCAACCAGCAGAGTGTTGTAGTACCTAGTCTCTACTGCAAGATCTGTCTGGACGGATGACTTCCTGCAGGAAGGTGGTAAAGAAGGGGAAAAAGAAGGGAAAGGCAATCAATGCGGTAAGAGTAGAATCAAGCAAGACTCGAGAAGGATGTAAAGGGTGGGGGGGGGGGGAGGGTATGTGCGATAGTTAGAGGAAGGATATGTAGTGAGTGGGTGGTTGTCTAGTGTTGACGTCGACAATTGGCTGCCAGAGGGAGCAGCAGCAGTAGCAGCACTGGCAACGGAAGCATTACATAGACAGACAGACAGGCAGACAGACAGAAAGAGAGACTACAGGAGGAAAGAGAGAGCAAGCAGAACAGCGGTTGGGGGAGGGAAATAGTGTGGCGCGCTATCTACATTACTCTATTGTGAATTCAAGGGAGGCTGGGGTTATGTTGTCTCGGGCAACCGATCATTGCCAAGGGGGGAGGGATGGAGGTGAGGGTGAGAGGGTTCGAATCCTACTCCTACTTTGTAATACCCACCCCGCGTAGCCAACCACAACCAGGGCCAACAGCAGGGAAGAACCCCTCCATTGCATCCCCGCAAATGTGCCTGCTGCGAGGCTGCAAATGCCAAACGTAGGTACCCCTGGACGGAACCCGAAACGGCGAAATGTAAACAACTATCTACTGAGGAGATGCCCTCACAATTAATTACGCTTATCACACTCTTGGTGTCTCGTCCGTTCCTCCCCCACCACCCAGCCTCGTGATTCGAGGGAGTAATTGGGCGAGTGGAGATGGTGAATTCCACTGTCAAATTAGACTCCAATAAGAGAGTATGTAGGGTACATATAATAACATAGCCCACTGCCCACCATTGCGAGTACCTACTATACAAGCCTACATACAATGCAAACAACAACACCTCGGCCCTCGACGACGACAACGACTGCAGCTGGACATGACATAGATATCAAACCAAACAAACACTCCCTCCCTCGCTGTGGCAAGCAAGTGTAACGCCACACTGGACTGGAAAACACGCAATCCGATACAAGCCCGTCAATCAATCAATGCTGATCTCGGAAATTACTTTAGCGGCGCACCGCGCGGTGTGTTACTATTTTTGCAGCTCGAACCCGGTAAAAATCTCCATGACAGAGTATCATGGATGCAGCAGCTGTTTGGATTGATGAGACGAACTTTTTTTAAAAGGGGAACAAAACAAAAAAAGAAGGGAAAAATGATTTATTTGAACACACGCGCCAAACCGCGATCCTTCCAAGGCATGCTCGTGGCACAATGCCGCCGCGCAACCTGACTGACTGACTGATTGACAGGTTTGAGCTGCTGCTGATGCTCGTGCTACATGGATAGACATGGGTCCCATAATTTAACGTCTCCCCACGGCCATGGACCAATTGCGGTCTCCAACGCGCGAAGGAAAAGAAAGAAGACGGGGGAAAAATAAACAGAAAGGCTGGGAGAGTTGTTTATTTTCCTGCTTTCTTTCTTTCTTCCTTTTCCCCACGCGCTTGACTGTCATGTCACAAGGGGGATGGGAAAGAAACCACTACCGGATCAATGCCGGATCTTCAACCCGACCCTATACATACCTATTGGGGGGTATCATCATGCAGCAGTTCTAATTCCGCCTTGACAAACCATCATTCCAAACAAAAGCACAATTTACGACAAAAAAATAAAAAAATTAATATCGCTCGCTGGGTACACGCGGTTCAAACGCGTCGAACCGTGCTTCGTAATCCAGGAAGGGGCTGGGGGCACAGATCATCTCGCGCACCGCCTCCTCCTCTGACTGCCACAGTCCAAGATCTAAGGATTGATACACGCGCCCTACTCTACTCCACTCCAGAGTACCTACGCACTCTCTACATGAGGCTCACACAGTACATACATCACGGCATGTAAAAAAAAAACTCCGAGACGCAGGGAATCACCAGGATCCCGGGGTGCTGTTTTTTTTTTTTTTTTTTGCAAGGATGTGTGCTTCTCCGTCTTCTGTTACCTTCCTCCCGTGATGTCATACGTAAATGTCTTCCAATCCCATCGCACGGAGCGAGGGGGCGGGGGGTAATTATAGTCCCGGGAACCCTTTACTTTCGGGGCCGGGAGGATGTGTTAGACATGGTTGTGCTCTAGGTATGTATAGAATTAGAGTACTGCGGGTGTGGCTAGGAGTGCGAGAGAAGGGGGATAGTAATCTGTAAAGTGATACCTGGCTAGGTTGCTTGGATTGTGGTATTATTGTTTACAGTGTAAATTCTGTAGGTGCCGTGGAGAAGCCCATTCCGTGTGAATGTTGTTTTGGGCGGGCGGGGTTTGTCCAACCTCACGCTTTTCGACCCCTGTGATCATTTCCAACCCTTAGTTTTACCGAGTGATGGGCTGTGAACCTGAATTTGACTTTCTGATTTTAGCAACCTAAAATAAGCAATCATCCGGTTTTTCCAATCCATGGTCCATGTGACGTATTGATATATTACTATAAAGACAGGCACGTGTTTAGTTACACTCGTTACAGGAAAAGTTTGTATCGAGTCTTGAGATCAATTCACCCATATGATCGGTAAACCTTCATCTAGCAAATTTCCATGTCCATGGCCAAAGCTGCCATCAGCCAATCATTACAGTCATTATCTAGGCTAAAAACGCCAAGAGAAGGGGAAAAAAGTATGAAAATAAGTAGAGAAACGCTGAATGACGCATAGACCAGTAAAAAGAATATTTCAGATGGAGACTGAGTAAAGAGAGAAAAGGAGAGAAGACACAAATGTGATAGAGAAAAATGCAGTTTCTTGCCCTGCGGTGAATAAAATAGGCCTCCCATACAGAAACATAAATCAGGAACAAGATCAAACAGATAGAAATGTGTTATGTTATACCAGGGAACAAAGAGAAAGGGAGTAAGAGTAAAAGCCAAAAGGAAATCCTCAACAACTTAGCGCCACCAAGGCCCCGGCGGGAAAAGTGCCGTCTGACTAGTATCAGACTTCTTGACCTCAACAAATCCCCTGTCCCTCTCAATCTCTGGCGGACTTCTCATAGGGCTGGTATTAACGGTATTCGACATGTCCATGAACATTTCCGTTTGATCGTCTAGGGCCATGAGACGGGGGATACTCCCATCACCGGCGATCGTGTTATCAAGAAAATGTTTCTGTGCCCAGTAATTTGGTGAAAAGCCTATGTTTCAGATAAAACTTTGGTTAGCGAAGAGTTTAAATAAGGTTTCTCATGTAACAATATTCCTCCGTGAACGAACGAGGGAAGGGAAGTTCAAGCGAACTAGATAAAGAACAAGAACATCCAATACCAGATGGCAAGGAACTGGGTGTTTCGTAATTAACTGTGACGTGGTCTAAAGGCTAACCAGAGGTAACAGAGAAAAAAATATAGGGACTGAATCAAGCTAGCGCACATGCATGTACCCCTCATTTCAAGCCGCCAATATGAAAGGGGAAATATGTGCCTCAGAATAGCAAGGAGGTTGCTGCTTCTGTTAAGGAAGATGTGGGGAAGTGATTATAATCATGCTTATAGGGTACGTGGGAATTATTTTTGCTACATACCCTCGTTTACTTTGTTCTCATTCTCTCGCACCGCTTCTTCTGCTACGATTCCCGCAGTCCACATAGGATCATCTCCATCAAATCCACCGCCGATTCCGCCCAACATATCCCCACTCATTGCCCTGGTTTTATATACCAGAGCGGTCTCTAGTCGACTGATATATTGTGGTGTTTCCCTCTCATCCTCCGGTGGTTGCCAAAAGTTAACTCTCAACTCCGTCGAGGGCGATTTTCCGTTACCGCTAGCTGTGGGAGCCTGGGACCCATCGGTTTTTTGAGCTTTCGGTTCTTCAGCTTCTTCAAAAGGATCTTTTTCGACTGCATCGTGGCGCCAGGCAAATCCCATCCAAGCTCTCCAGGTTGGATCCTTCCCTAAAATCCAAGGGTTTCCAATGACAATTAAACCCTGCTTTGCCCTGGTCAATGCCACGCACGCCCTCCTGTTCTCAAAAACCACGCCTAATCCTCTCTCTAGATCACCTTCAAGGAATCGCTCCCGGGATCTAGTAGTGCAGATGATAACGAGCTTATGTTCACTTCCCTGGTAGATCTCGATGGGCCCCACATTGACATTTCTAAGTCCATAAGACGGTGAACGCAAGGCCTTTCTGAGACGTTTAATCTGCTCTCTGAATTGGGCCATGATGGCTATTTCATGAGGCTCAATAAGCCCAGATGCCACAAGGTCTTTGGCAATATTGCAAGCAATCTGAATTTCTCGAAGGTTGTAGAAGGACACACCCTCTTCATGCCATTCATCCTGCCCACCATTCAAACAAAACTTAATCGGTATTCCTTTGCGACCCTTCCACCCAGCCCAGCACTCCATGCCCTCTGTACCTCTCGCTTCTGGTACCAAAGTGTCATTATAAAAAAGTGCACTTGGCACCGCTAGAATCGCCGGATGTGAACGGTAATTTCTAATCAAGTTTGTGAACGGTGGTCGAAGATATGGCTACACCCAAGTCAGCAGATGATAAACTCGTTTTTGAGGACATGATAATCCCACCAGTAAAGCCTTCTTCCTCTCGAGAACCCTCTCAGCGCTCCAGCCCGTGGGGTTTTGCTCGACACCAAAGCTGTGCCTAGCCAGAGGATGCTGACTATATATCTCCCTCAGAAAGAGTCTTTCAAAAAGACTCATATCCAGTTGGGATATTTTACTGGTTGTTCTCGGACCCTAGGATTTCCGTCAGCAACTCTCCATAATTCAAAAAAAAAAAAAAAAAAGAAAAAAGAAAAAAGAAAAGAAAAGAAAAGAAACTGCCAAATGGAAGACCCACCAATTGCTTTTGATCTCCTGCCATTACAAAGATTGGCCTATCAAGACTGGCCTCTTCCGGTGGTGCCACAACAGAAAGCGCAACTGCAACTTCTGGTTCGATGCCTTGTGCCGCTTCATCCAAGAGGAGAGCTGTCCAATGAACATTGACACTCTGGCCCTTCTCGACCACTCCATGCCTACCGTTGTCATCCTTCTCGTCCCCAATTCCTCTCAACGAATCAACAACGCCTTTCTCCCACCTTGCTAAATCCCTGTTTGTGCACCTGGCTTCCACCAGAATCTCGGCATCTCGAGTGGAGCAGACAATTACTCTGAAGCCCATAAGTGTTTTCCATTCCGGAAGAGAAAACATGTCATTGGCTATATAAGAATATGGCAATAATTCCCCTGGAACTTCAGGAAATGTTCGAGCGCTCGACTGTAAGCGGAATAGTACTTTCGGGTTCAGGTACGGGATGAGACGTTTGGCCAATGTATCTGCTGCTTCATGCGATGGTGCACAGAGAAGGATATGATGTTTCGGACTAGACGGCGTGAAGATCAGTTGTAATACTGGGTAGAGGAAAACCACACAACCCCAGTTAGTTATCTATCATACGTCCAATAGAAATGATTGAAAGGGCTGGGGTAAATTTTCCTCCTTACATACCTGCTTCTACTATCGTTTTTGTTTTGCCGGTTCCTGGGGGCCCAGAGATGAGATACGGGATATTCCCGTAATTTTGCTGGACAATTGCGTCGACCGCTTTCTGTATGTTCACTTAGCTTACCATCCATTACCCAAACCCCGCCAGATAGAGATAAAGAAGAAATTGATGCCCAAAAGACGCGAAAGAAACCTTTCCGACAGAAAGCCCAATAGGGAACAGTTTTTTAATAGCAAAAGGCCGCCTTGTTATGATACAGGATGACGAATATCTCAAGCACACCAAAAGAGCTAGCCTTACCTGTTGTTCATAGTTCAGCTCTCCGTCGAACCACCCTCGATTAAAAGCTCCTTTGCCCAAATTCCTTTGCAAAACACCGTCTGCTTTTTCTGGAAACAGCATTCTCCTCACGAACCCTCCTCCCCTGGGTATATCTTGGTTTACAGATCCATTAATACTGTTGCTGTTAACTCCATTTATTCCATTTATATTTAAACCATTTATTCCGTTGGTTATAACGAGCCTCTCCTTCGCGTCGACGTTCTTCAGCTCCCCTCCAAGGTCTTCGACAGCCCTGGCTGGACCGGCCCACCGCTTTTCTTGAACGCAGAAGCAGACGTTAAAACGTCCACTTTCCATCATCAAATGATCCACCCTGAGAACAATGTACCCAACTGTCTTGTCCATGCCATAAACACAGGCATCGTATTGGAACCCGTTAAAGGATCCTCCCCCCATCGCCATGTAGCTAGCGGGGTGGATTCGGACCTGCCTAAGCCTTACAACATCTCCAAGTTGCACCAAAGGCGTGTTCTCCCGGATCCCAGGAACAATCAATCTATACAAGCTCTGTGACAGGTCTTGAACGTAAAGTGGTTCATTGTACATATCGTACTTCCGGAACCTTTCGTGCTGAGATGATACTTCATGGGAGAGAAGATTGAAGAAATAGTCGAAGTAGGTGGAAGGGTTGAGATCTGTTGATGGAGTAGGAGCTGGTTTTGCTGGTGTTGGTGGAATAGCTGGAGGAGGAGGGAGTAATCGAAGAAACGATGATCCACAAAAAGAAGATATAAAAGCATGGAATTGAATTGAAGGTGGGGGAAGAGATGTCACTGTTGCAGCAGGAAGTGTATTGATTACTTGCAAGTACTGCGGTATGAACGGGAGAGTATAAACATCCGGATACCATGGCTTTGGGGTTGAAAGGTTTGGGACTTGCTGGCCCCCAGGAGTGAACGATGGCTGCGAAGGGTTTGGACGAAATGGTTGGCCAGGATGGAATAAAATTGGGGATTGATGAGCAGGATGTTGCGGCGGGGGCGGAGGTAGTTGCTGCTGCTGTTGCTGTTGCTTTTGTGGTTGCTGTTGCTGCTGCTGCTGCTGCTGCTGCTGCTGCACCGTAGCGGGAAAGGCCGGGGGCGCTGCCTTGAGAGTTGCAGCATACGACATTGGTGTTGATAAGAGTTGAGGATGAGGGGGAGGAGGAGGAGGAGGAGAAGGAGGAGGAGGAGAATTGTTATGAGTAGGAGGAGAGGATGAGAGGGGTGGGAATGAGCTCTGGGAAACTGGTGGGGGGAGCGGCGGCGGCGGTGGGGGCGGAGGAAGAGAATGGCGAGGAAGTACCATTTTTTAAGGAAGCTTCTTCTATCGACGAAGGACGGGATATGGTGATGTATTCTTTCTTTCTTTCTAGAAGATATGTTTATATCTCACTTACTTACTCGCTCCCCTTCCTCTCTCTCTTCTCTGTCCCACCCACTTTCACGTTGATAATAGAGAAGGGAAAGAGAAAACAAAAAGAGAAAAAACGAGATGAGGGGAAGACCAAGGAAAAGAAATTAAGGCGGACGAGCAACAATAATAGCAGCGAATGAATGAAGCTTGCGTCCCCGTCGCCGTCTATTTGTGGTCAGTGGACTAACGTTTTACCAAAACCTTCAACGAACTTTGCCCGAACAGTTGGCTACGAGTCCTTTGCGCGTGTGCGGGCGAGACACTGGAGCTCAAATCTAGAGCTTAAAATTGGCCTAGCCGCGCTGACCTGACGGGTCGACAGAAAAGGCCTGGGTCACCGCAAACCTGTTCATCAGTATGATCCCACTTTTAAAGATAGAGAATTCAGGATTATCGGTTATTGGTGAGAGTTATACGGCACTCGGACCGGCGAGCAAGTGCGTCAAATCAATATCCCCCCGAGCTTCAATTTGTGGGGTATGGGAGCTTAAAAGCTTGTCTCCTGACTTTGACCGCCGGGTAAGCGAGCTTTTTGTATTTGCTCTTGGTCTGATCGGGAGCTTCGAACGAGAACACCAAGATTCCATAGTCGCACAAAGAATTTTCGAATGATCCCTGAGTTCCTCTCAAGAAGAAAAAAGGAACCTCATGATTCTGCCTATATAAACATCTTAGTGGGACCAGGTTTCGAAAATGGCAGGGGAAATGACCATTTTTGCAACAATTTCAACAGCTAACATATTCTTCAATTCGAGAGCCGTATAATATCGACATGTGTATATAGTGGTTTGAAAAGGCGTTTTGACTGTTTGAATAGGTGTTTGTATGTATGTAAATGAATATTATTTATCACAAGCTTAGGGAGCAGTACGCCTAGGAAGGATGTAGTACATCGTAGTACTAAAGTACATCTAGAAATAAGAGACATCCTGGCCAGAAAAACGTAAAATACCACAGCTGTAATCTGATATGAAAAAAATCATGTCTGGAATTACATTATATAGAGGCACCAGAAGCTCAAATTGACCACCCTATCGCCTAAACTTGCGCCTCCGAAAATAAGATCTACAATCTGCATATAGGCCGACAAAATGATATGCGAGTTCAGCGTTGATTGAATACTTCTACTTACACGAAACAGATATCTAGACCCCAGGAGTTTAACAGAAAGTGACTAAAATGAGAGATAAGGTATACGCCATCAAATGAAACGAAAAGGAACAAGAGCAGTTACAGCAATTGAATCAATGGAGACATAAACTTTCAGCAAGTTATATAGACCTTGCTTCCTTACAGTAAAAAAGAAAAAGAGATGAATAAGGTTGATCATAGGAAAGTCTGTAGCCCGCAACTTCCATCAAGTATAGAACCTTTCAGCAATATGGTAACAATTTATTTAGGAGGGGAACCAAAGAACAAAGGTTCTGCGGGGCTCTCTTCGGGGGTATCTGGAGGACTAGCACCCCATTTGAGGAGTAGGAGTTCCCTTTCGGAGTCTGTAGCGGAAAAGAAATCGGATGGAGCGACACAGGCGCCAAGGGCACGCCTCATATGGGAGTTGATAATGGTAAGTCCAAGTTGGTAAGAGGCATTCACCCAACCAAACCTGTAAACACACGATGTTAGTAGTGCCGATAAGCGTGATTTCGAATGACTACATACCCTTCTCTTGCAACACCTCTAAAGTCTAGCCCTTGGTTTCCATACTCTGCGTCAACACGGTGCGGGTCGATAGGGCGGGTCACGTCATATTTCTCCACGACTACACCATTGTAATCTACAAAGGCCTTTGTAATCATGTAGAGCCAACGGTAAGCAAGACGCTCTGCTTCTTCCTTGTAGCCGTAACGCTCAAGACCAACCCAAGCAAGAATCTGCTGAGGAGCCCATCCACTACAATATACATTAATAGCTGCTCAGAATATATTCTCAGGCGAAAGAATAGGGACTTACTAAGGATAATCCCATTGCCGGTTGGGCCTGTCTAAACCAATTCTACCCCTACTCTTCTCTGTACCACTTACTAAACCTCCGTGCTCCTCAAACAGTTTCATGGCAGTTTCTACCATTTTAGTAGCTTGCTTCGGAGAGCTAACTCCTGCCCACATGGCCCAAAATGTAGTGGCAGATTCATACTTGATCTGTTTCTTCGCTACCGTATCGTAATCAAAGTACATGCATTTTTCTTCGTTCCACAAGTACCTATCGATCAACATCTTGCGCCTCTTGGCCCTACGTTCCCAAGCACCAGATGTATGGACAGACCCTGTTTGGAGATCTGGATGTCCCTTGGCTGAAAACTCCTGCGGAATAATCAAGCGGCCACCGAAGTATGTTTCAATTACCTTAGCGATGTCTGTCTCGTACTTATAAAGCAATGAATTAAGGTCAATTGTTGCCAAATTAGCGCAAACACCCTCGAGGCGATAGCTCGTATCATGCCCAGATTCACGAACGGCACGATCATGAAGGAAATATTCATCCAAAGCTGGCTCTTTGATGACACCATCATTGTAGGCGACGATAAAATCCTCGATTGACATTCCATGCTTCTTGGCATACGGTCCCAGATGAGAGTCAAAGTGGCTAGGTTCTGTCTCCGGAGGAACACCAAGGCCATCGGGGCGATACCTGCTCAATCCAGAAATGGGATCTAGTCGAGGTTCCGAAACCCATACGGTAAAATACTCCTTTATAGCTGCGAGGATTGAGGTTTTAAGAAACTCGGTGGATCCTTCGAGGTGTTGGATCTTCTTGAATACACGGAGTGTCATGTCGGTTAAGAATGGTGGCTGTGAACGCGAAAGATAATATGAGCGATTCGCGTTCAAAATTTTGCCGTAATGCTCAATTTCGAAGCAAAAGTTGACGACCATAGCTTTAGCAAGGTCGGTACGATCATCAATCAGAAGACCCAAGGCGATCATGTAACTATCCCAGCCTGTTTGGATATAATTAGAGATCTAATACTCAAAAGGTAATGCTAGGAGAAATTACCGTATAGCTCATTGAATCTACCCCCAGGGACCACAAATGGCCAGCCTCTCATTTGCTCCTTTCCATCATCATCGACATACCTTTCCATGGCCAATGCGAGTAGTCCTGGCTTGTCGTTGATGCCTAAATAAAAAATGTCAAAACTCGTAATTTACAAAGACCGATAATCGCTGGAAGATACTTACTCTTTGTGTATTCTGCCGTAATCTCTTCTGGAAGCTCCACGACATCGAGATCTAATTCAGGTTGCTCCTTGGCTATCCGTTGGTAATATTTCAACTGGTCTGGTGCTCCTCTAGGAACGTAAATTCTTGGCCTAGGATCCTTCATCCTCTCGGCCTTTGGGTCTTTAGCAACGATATCAATAACACTTGCATCAATTCTCCGAGTCAGACCGTCCCAGAAGCTATGTTTTATCAACCGACGAAGGCGAGCAACTGGGTTCTCATTTAAGCGGGCCTCGTCAAGGACGATGTGTTTACGTCCGTAGTCAATTGCCAATGTAAGCTCTTGTAGAAGATTTGATAGCATGTAAGTCCCACGAACTTGACTGTGATTATAGCCATTGGAGTTTGCGGTTCCTAATGAGAGTACCTGATTTCGTTAGATTTAATTGCGACTCGGTGGGAAAGAAAAACTTTACCTTGGGCCCACCATCCTCAATTGTAATTTGAAAGTTGCCGTCCGTGTCTTCAGATGCGAGCAAGCTCCTGTAAGTAGATTCGACATTGATTAAAAATTTTCTTGGATTATGTACGTTATAATCATCTAGTTAATTCCATCCGTTAGCTCGGGCCCATAACAGTTGGTCCCACGGTAGCATGCCAAAGCCTGCTGAGGTGGCTAAAGAGGTTGTGAAATCAAGGTGGGCGTGGGACTTACCTGCAGAAGATCTCCGGACTGGCTTTGATAGTGGTAGTGCCAAACCTCCAGATGTAGGGGCTAGTGTGTGCTTGTCATAAGTCTGTGTCCGAAAGTCAGTCGCTTGATGAGGCAAATGGGGTTATAGAAGCTCAGGGGATGAAAACATGAAGCTACAAAATCACTCCTAGAAAACATCAAGCAGGATACCTCTAAGCTAGATGAGATCTAGATGCGGAAATCCACAATTTTCCAGAAAGATCTTTCTTGCCCTCTTCTTTTCCTCTCCAGCCAAAGCCTCTTTCTTCCCCCCCGTTTTTAATTGATGGATTGACAAATGAAAACGGAAAACATTTCAACTTACCGCAGACAAGGTTCTTGGCCTACCACCTATGGCGTTGAGGTTCTGCTCCCCATAGTAGATATGAGGGGCAGAGAAAGGGTCATGGTTATCATCGTGATGCTTGGGCCAGTCTTTCCCAGTGCCGCTGCCGGATACAGTGGACATGGTGAGTAGGTGTTGTTTCCGCGAATCTGAGTGTGTTTGAGAAGATGTTTGCTTCAGATTCTTTAAACAATACAGCTATGGCAGTTATTGGGATGGAGGATTAACTGGGTAGATTTGGAAGATGGTAGTGTATTTTAGAGGTGGGTTGTGGGAAGATTGTAATGGTTTACAATTCAGCGGCGAAGGGAGAAGGAGGGGGGAAGGGGAGAATTAATGTGCGAGAAAACTGTTCTGTTGCTCGTCGGTTGGGTATTGTGTGCTCGTTAGTTTATCTGATTCGATGCTGGTCCCCTCAGTTCTGCTGTTACGATTACGGAGTGGGCAAGAAGGGACAAAGGCAGGTGTGATATGGACTCGGGAGGGATGGAGGGAGCTAAGAAACCCGGCACAGCTATGACGAAGGGCCAAAACAGGGATGGCTGCAGACCCGCAATGCAACCTTCTGCGCAACGCACCCACCGTCTGCTGCATGATATGAAAAAATGAAAACTAAAATGCATGGAAAAACAAAAAAGATTCAATCCGGAAGAACCGATGCCATGCATGTCACGATAAGGTTTTTGGACGTTGAAGAACCGGCTATCAGGATACATTGAAAGCTAAAAAGGAATGATTACCCAGGGTCTACATGACGTTTCCAGCTCTTTTCAATACAAATACCCATCTACTCTATTCCAAAGCGCATGTCAATGTCTGACCAGTCCTCGAAAGTTTCGTTACACAAACCCCTGTCTTGAACCTGGGAAACGGGTAATTTTCCGACTTAAAGAAAAGAACAGAGTTTGATACGGCACATTCCACCCCACATTATGGAGCCGCAACATGATCACAACATCATCGGATCCATCCCACGCAAGATTTTAGTTTCATCCTCTCCCCACGCGATATCTACATACTTGTGCTTTACTTGACCAAACATTTGGAACGTAACCACGCACACTTCGTTTCGATGGATCCTTTCCTTCCTCCACATCTTTATCAATGGTTTCCACAAAGACCAGCAGTGTCTGTGAGCACCCCCGATATGCGCATACCATTTATTACCTTGCTGACGCCTTTCACCCCTAAAATTGATCGCCCCCACGATGTTTGGAATCTAGATGGCGCTCGAAGGCTCGATGCGGTTTAACATATTGTGGGGAATTCATTTGAAACCTCTTCCTTCAGTTAGATCACCCACGGTCCGACCCAGAGAGGAATGGCTGGTCAAGCCCCTTGGGAATGTTTGTTTTGCGCAATATGAAGTCTAGGACCCATGAATAGACTGGCCTGTTCCAAATATCTCGTGATGGTTTCTGTCGGGAGGTTTGGATCGTGAGAGGGACTCTGAGAAATCGACTGACAGTCACGTGGTTTGTCACTATTCGACCCGAATCTTTCCAAACAACCCAGAGGGTACCGGCGAAACCCCGCTTTCGGATTTATTTAGCGATTCTCCACCTACCCTGGTCAGGACCAGTGTACTTTTGTGTGATCACCCGGTGCTGATATCCTTTGGGCATGTTTCGGTTTTAGTTATTATTCTAAGTTGCTCTGTCTTTACGGGGCGAGAGAAGGGCAATTTATATGGTGCTTTCACTTGGTACATGTATAAGTATGTACTCGGGGCAGGCAAGAAGAACCTGAAAATGACTTTTTATGGTAACGACCTCTGATTCGCGGCTGACGAAAAGCTACACCAAATTGAGCCCTTGCATTTTCAGGTTCTTATTGCCTGCCTCGAGTAGAGTATGTACATACTGTTATTCAAGGTGCATAAAGCTTAGCGTGTACAATACATGTATATATGTATATCATATCTTGAGTCTGTTGATAATATCTGAAGGCTTGTGCACTCATTAGGTTATTATCTGCTTTGGAGGTCTAATGGTGTAGTACGCCACAGCGTACCTGACATAATCATGGTTCGTGCTTCTACTTATGCCGGTACTTTCGGCGAATGTAGAGTAACTATCTCCCACGAATCAGAACCACTTAGAGCTCTAGTTCCACCCATCGTTGATATGAAGCACTCTTCTTCCGGAACTTCTCCATGAATGAATTGTAGGCAAAGGTTCACAGGAAAGGAGTGCCAGGGAAATGCTTGTATGAGACGTGCTAGTTTTAGGGCCTGTTCGGTTGACACAAAAATCCATGGATTGGGCTCAATAAAATAATTACCCCCAGAGGTGTTTTTTTTATTCTAATAGTGAACACTCGCCGTTCTGTTCGTTGGCTTGACCGATCTTTGGCACCCGTCAGGAAAGAAATTCGCCTAGACTTTACTTGCATTTATGCTTTTCAATCATTGGTGGCCAAATGCTAGTGGCTTTGCTCCTTCCAAAATGATAAACACAAGGTATGCAAAAAAAAAAAAATACGCACGGGGGTCACAGCATATGCAACTTACATGATGGATTCTTACCCCGCAACGATGGTTGGAACTCCATGTGTCATTTCTGCAACACAAGCAATAACAAAAAAACACCCACAACACTGGTCACAATATTTATCAACCCTGCCAAATCCCACCATATCCCTGCTCATAAGCGTGGGGAGGTGAGGGACGAAAAAGATCGCAATGCTCTTCTCAGGCTAAGGAATACTTCCATCTGCTTGAACATGGTCCAGGTCAGTCCAATTCAACATTTCATTCTTTACCGATATATTAATACTTGATAAGCTTCAAACAACTTTGTTCCAGTGTAACATAGCTACAGGCACGGTAAGTAAGCTCATCAATTCTATTTGATTCTAAGCATAAATATTAAGTTTAAAGCATGGCATTAGATAGTTATCCTTTAAACCTGACATAACATAAAACGCCATACGACAGAACCATATCGCTGGGGATATTATTAGGCTCATCGATCATATTTAATCAAAGTCTAGGTTTTTATCTTCTACTCTACCTTTAATAATGTTATAAGACTCATCGCCTGGGAGGGTCAATATTCCCCATGCAACAGGATTCTCTTACTACAAATCTCTCGAGCAATTGGGGTATGAAACGATATCGTACATGTCCACATTTGACCCCCCGCCCCTCCGCTTTAATGTCATGCACCTACATGTAGGTACATACGACCCTACATATTTTTGATTTGGGTTGCATGTAGGTACATACTTAGTTACAATTCAAGGTTTCCTGGCGTCGATATATAAAGTTCAATACTCCGCGCACTACCGCCAACGGTCGAAACACAAGCAACTACATGTCAGTACATATGTCGCTTCGATCTTATTTTTGTGAGTAGTTAACACACATCCTAAATGATTAAAAAATATTGAATAAGATAAAAAATTCGTTTTCCAGCGCTGATAAACTACTGCCGCATACATGTAGTGACAACTCTCAGCTAAGGCAAGGATTTATTCAAATGGAGTAGCGCCGTTCTACCATTAGGCACTTGTTCACAGCAGGAAACTGCCACCAAATATTTGTGGAATCTCAAGGGCTAAGCTGATTACTAAAGATAAAAGCCTGTAATATGTACTTCGGGGGTGGGGACGAAGGTGTCTTTTCAGTAGTACTTACCCCTGCACCCAAAGTACATACACTCCATTCGACCAATAAAGCTTGCAAGAGGGCGAGTGATAGGATATGAACATTCTTACTAGTAGTATCTCGCACACCAGGTTTATACTGGCTTCCAATGACGTCAATACCTCGGTGAGCGCTCGAGTATCTAGCGTATCTTTCAATCCTGTAAGTCTACCGTTATACCGTTTTGACATGACGCCAATCAAGAAATTTGAGCAAGGATTTCACATGCCAAGATGATCAGCGTCAGGGAAATAGATACCGGTCCCATGTAATCGGATAGAACTGTCTAATTGAGTACCACAGGATTATACTGAAGATGTAGGCTACTCTAAGCCCGGTCATGAGGGTAGTTTTTATAACTACATACAGACAATTGAGGCCATGATCAAATCTCTCTATGCATAAGATCGAGATTCTGGGCCTTCAAGACATATTCCAATCCCGCGGGAGAGCTGCAGAGACCCTCGACGTCGACATGAATGCTTGTTTCTGATAAATTATCCGTGACGACAGGAGATTTGCATCGCCACCTCAAGATAACCACTTCTGGAAGGTTGCAATAAGAACCGTCGGGGATGTATCACCAAATATCACTCGATCATTGAGGTTCATTGGAATGTGGTCGGCGGAGAGATTGGACAAGATATCAGCAATTTCCGCTTAAAGCGCCTCTAAATCATACATTTATGTACTTATAAGCATCAAAGAAATGAAGATTGTCCAGTTGCCATCAAAACCCTAACCCACGAAAGACTTGGCGTATCTCACTTCACGCGTGCAATGGATAAACACGAGACCCAAGCACTTCATTCCCCGCGCCATCAAACAGACCCCAAGATATTCAATGGCCGAAGGACGAAATCATCGCATCGACCACGCGCTCTCTTCGCTTATCGAAACATTTTTGCGCGCTGGCCCAGATGAGGACCAGGAGGCCTACCACGAGAGACATGATGCTGCGTTGGACAGAGCACAGCAGATTATCGATAGGTTGAGCTCTCTTAAGACCGAACACATTGAATTTTGCTGGCGATGCCCCGTGAATAAAATGGGAGGGCTGATTGTGACTCTAGCCAGGGAAAACCGAGTGTCGTGATGGATGTGCAACATATTGTTGATTGTATTAAGAATAAACGTAATGATCTCTCATCTCAATCTTTCGATTGGATTGCCCTCAAAGCTGAACAAGAGTATAGTCGTTAGAGATCATAAATCGCCCGATCCAGCATTACGGTTTTCACATCTGTGCACCAAACTTCTAAACCAACGGGTCCTCTCACAAAAATGGGCTGTTCTCTACCTACTCCATGAGCTTGCCGATTCGCCACAATCTGCCGCCCCCGTAGGTGATCAAACCTTTGTCATGGCTCCTAGCGCAGGAAACGCAGTGTTTTCAGAAGCCTTCAGCTATATGGGGTTACACAGATTACCAGGACGTGAAAAGGCTCGAGGGCCTGGGGGTGGTGGTTTAGTGGGCGGAGATCTTGGAGGACAATGGGGAAGTCTAGGAACTGGAGCTGACGAGGGGGCAATGAGGACCAAAGCGGAGTTATTAGCAGAGAGGGATGATGGAATTGGTAAGTTTCTTGAATCTTGATTTTGGGCGAGAGTCAAATCTAAGGTCTAGAAGAACCGAGTGAGCAGACTCTTCTTTCATGCTTACCGTTTACACTTCTTGGTCTTTCATCAACCTCACTGCCGTTTAACCCGGCAACTCTCCCACCGAACGCGAAAGATACCACAATGCAGAAGTTTGTGATATCTATCCCGCCAAGCTTGCCGTTACCTCTAGTATCCTTGCTACACACACTGGCGGAACCGTCGCTATTATATAGATCACTCAATGAGTTTGTTGAGTCCTCATTCGAGGGCGAAGTTCATGGAGGGCTAGTTGGGCAATCTCTCAAATCTGCCATGGGTTTAGAGCTTAGGGGATATATTAACCTCATTGGCGGGCTAGAAAGTGAGATCCGAAGGGCAGTTGCAACATCCGATACCAACAAAGGAGTGAGAGCGGCAGGGGTCACTCTGAAAAGGTGTGTGGTCTGGACAAGAGAGGCGACTATGGGGCTGAGATTGATGAGCTTGATTGTTGAGCAAACGAAAGGTACGTGTCAAAACTCTGGTTGTTAGGAGAATTTGGTATTGAATTACCACTTTAATTAGATAAAAAGGGTGGACAACTTATTTCCACCATTCACACATTTGCATCATCACATGGTGACCCTTTTGTACATTCATTTGCTGAACGTTTGTTGAGCCACGTTACTCGTCCTTTCTATGATATGCTCCGACACTGGATCTACGATGGCGAACTTACCGATCCTTACCTGGAGTTCTTTGTTATTGAACAAAACCCGAGTATCCCTGATATGGGCGGTGCCAAAGTTGGTGCCTCTTCCGTATGGGAGGATAAGTACACTATACACTCACCGCAAGTTCCAACAATAATCACAGAGTCCTTCGCAAAAAAGGTATTCCTCATCGGAAAATCACTCAACTTTATTCGTCATGGCTGTAGCGACGCAGAGTGGGTGATGAGCTACTCAAAATCCACCTCTAAAGAGCTTACGTATGGAGATACTGCCCGCTTAGAGATGAGCATCGACGAGGCCTACAAAACCACCATGGCCAGATTAATTGAACTCATGTCAACTAAATTCAAATTATTTGATCATCTTCGTGCTCTTAAGAAGTTCTTATTGCTAGGACAAGGGGACTTTATTGCGCTACTCATGGAAGGACTATCAGGGAGTTTAGAAAGACCTGCAAACGCTCTCTACCGTCACAATCTTACTGCACAATTGGAGCACGCGATCCGTGGGTCCAATGCACAATTTGAGTCGCAAGACGTTCTGAGGAGGTTGGACGCGAGGATGTTGGAACTGAGTCATGGAGAGATTGGATGGGATGTTTTCACGCTGGAGTACAAAATTGATGCACCGGTGGACGTTGTTGTCACTCCATATGGCAGCAGGCAATATTTGAAGGTCTTTAATTTTCTGTGGAGAGTGAAGAGGGTCGAGTTTGCATTGGGGAGCTCTTGGAGGCGCTTCATGACAGGAGCACGTGGTGTGTTAAAAGCAGTTGATGACATAGTTGGCGCAGATTGGAAAAGAGCTAGATGCGTGGTTGCAGAGATGGTTCACTTTGTGAACCAACTACAATACTACATCCTATTTGAGGTATCTATTCAGCATTTCCCCCCCAGGGATTCAATAATTCTAGAGAAATACTGATATCACTGGTATTCTAGGTCATTGAATCATCGTGGGATGCACTGGAGAGGGCTATATCCAAACCAGACGCCACACTTGACGATCTCATTGAAGCACATGCAAAATACCTTCAGCATATTACTCATAAAGGACTTTTAGGGAGTACCAGTGCTAGAAGCAGCGGCAAGAAAAGAGCTGGAGATACAGCAGATGATACATTCATGAATCAGTTACATGAAATACTAAAAATCATGCTGGCATATAAAGATGCTGTTGATGGACTCTATGGCTATAGTGTTGCTGAGTTCACACGGAGACAGGAGCGAGGTGCACGAATTGAGGCAAGAACGAAAAAAGGGCAATGGGGAATAAGAGAAACCGACGAGGACGGGGATCATGCAGGTATACCGGGCGGATGGGGCAGCGGCCATAACGAGGACATGATGTTGCCAAGCCTGCGGACAAGATTGACGAGTCTTTCAGAGGACTTCCAATCAAAAGTCGTTGTTCTATTGGGTGATTTGGCTTATCAGAGTGACATGGATATGAGATTACTTGGCGTTCTGTTGAGTTTCAATGAGTATGTTTCTACAGTTTCTTCAGTGCCTTCAGGCTTGAGCATGAGTTTTAGACTGACGTGTGAAGATATTATCCGGTTGTTAATAAGAGAAGGACCAGAGATAAAAGGGGGGCATCCAGGGTCCAAGATGGGTCAAAAACCAGTGATTCTGGTGTTGGGGATGATACGCAGGCATGAAAGTACTGTTTTCGATAATATCCTTTTGATTTTTTGTTGGGTTAGAGCGAAGGCGCTTCACATTTTATGGGGTTTTAGCATACAAGGGTAATATGAACTAGGATTCAAAGTGGCCCATCTTAGAGTAAGTATTCAGGCGACAACGCTATAACCCTTATGAGTCATTCATAGACCTTGTAGAGTACGAAGTCGTGTGCTATTCAGGAATTCAATAATTATTATGTCCCGGGTTTTTCCTGTGGCCCGACGCTCCTTGTGCCGAGAACTGATGTTTGTTCTGTGGAGTTACCGAGGTCCAAGCAACGGAACAACTTTAACGACCTGAATCTGAACCAATTCCGACGGTGAGACATGTAAATCGGCTATACCCTATCTCGTAACCGAAAGCAAAGACAATTACGTTCTCGCGGGATATTTTTCACATGCAAGGTCAACCCCACACTTTCTGTCCGCATGTTAATCCCTGTAATAGTAGGTACCATTGTTTGCCTTCTGTCCGAGAAGGTAAGTCACTCACAAGCCGGATGGAGGGCTTCATCTGTGTATTGCTCTTGCATCATGTCTAGACCCTAGGCCTCTCTCGAAAATGGACCTTCAGCTGAAGCCTACCTCCTCCAATCACGGCTTTCACAAGCTAGAAGGCCCGCTGGACCGAAAGCTCCCGAGGGGGAGGCTGGCTTTCGTGGGTCTTTCAAAGTTCTTTTATGTAGCTCTTTAGATCCTCTTGTTTCTTCTCTCCTTTATTCTCCATTGTCCTCCAGCGAGATTTCCTCTATATACCATTTCACTGTTTTCGATTTCTGTTCCATCTTCAATTTTATAATGTCTACCCAAGCCGCTTTAGAAGCAGAGCAGAAGGCCTTCGAGGCCGAAGTTGCAGCTGTGAAGGAATGGTGGTCCTCGCCCCGATGGCGCTTCACCAAGAGACCTTTCACCGCGGAACAAATCGTTTCGAAGAGAGGAAATCTTCCCATAAGCTACCCAAGCAACGACCAGAGCAAGAAGGTTTGGGAGATTCTTGAGAGGAGGTTTGCTGGAAAGGAAGCAAGCTTCACTTATGGATGTCTTGATCCCGTCATGGTCACCCAGATGGCCAAATACCTGGAAACCGTGTATGTGAGCGGTTGGCAATGTTCCTCCACAGCAAGCTCCACACACGAGCCCAGCCCGGATTTGGCAGATTATCCTATGGTGAGTTTAATCTTTTTAGTGGTTTATGGTGGTTGTGGATGAGTCACATGCTTGGACCCTGAATTCCGAGTTGTGGGGTTGGATTAACATGTGACTAACTTGCACGTGCGCCACCAGGACACCGTCCCCAACAAGGTGGAACATCTCTTTAAGGCACAATGCTTCCATGACAGGAAACAGCGTGAAGCCCGCTTGTCAACACCGTTAGCAGAGCGTGCTAAACAGGCAAACATTGATTACCTTCGGCCCATAATTGCCGATGCCGATACTGGCCATGGAGGACTTACAGCAATCATGAAGCTTACGAGACTTTTCGTCGAGAAGGGTGCCGCTGGAATTCACATTGAAGATCAAGCCCCAGGAACAAAGAAGTGTGGTCACATGGCTGGAAAGGTTTTGGTGCCAGTCAGTGAGCACATCAACCGTCTTGTTGCTATCAGAGCACAAGCTGATATCATGGGTATGTCTTGGGTCTATCAAATCAATCATTTATTCGAGAAATAAGCGCTAATCTAAATGTTAGGCGTGGACCTTCTTTCTGTTGCCCGTACCGACTCCGAAGCTGCAACACTGTTGACCTCCACAATTGACCACCGAGACCACCCCTTCATTCTTGGCTCAACAAACAGCTCCCTCCGACCCCTTCACGATCTCATGGTAGAGGCTGAGAGTTCCGGGAAGTTTGGTGACGCTCTGCAGGCCGTGGAAGACGAATGGACCGCTGCTGCCGGTGTTAAAACATTTGACGAGGCGGTTATTGATGTTATCAATGCTGGAACTTCTGCCGATAAGCCGAAGGTTATCGAACAGTATCTTTCTGCGGTAAAAGGAAAGAGCAACACTGAGGCAAGAAAAGTTGCAAAAGATATTACCGGTACTGATGTATACTGGAATTGGGATGCCCCAAGAACTAGGGAGGGTTTCTATAGATACAGGGGAGGGACAAAATGCGCTGTCATGAGAGCTGTTGCATATGCTCCGTACACCGATTGCTTGTGGATGGAGAGCAAGAAGCCTGACTATGCTCAGGCGGTTGAGTTTGCCGAGGGCGTTCACGCTGTTTGGCCAGAGCAGAAACTGGCATACAACTTGTCACCAAGTTTCAACTGGAAGGGTAAGATACTCCCGATCATTTTATGAGAAGTAGATGCTGATTCGTTGTGACAGCCGCTATGTCTACCGAGGAGCAGGAAACCTACATTGAGAGACTTGGGAAGCTTGGATACTGCTGGCAATTTATTACACTTGCAGGACTCCACACCACTGCCTTGGCTTCAGGTAACCTCGATACCGGTATCCCTTTAAACCATAGATAACTAACATGCCCGCCTCTAGACACCTTTGCAAAGAACTACGCAAAGCAAGGAATGAAGGCCTACGGAAACTTAGTCCAAGAACCCGAGATGGAGAACGGCGTCGACGTTGTGCTTCACCAGAAATGGAGTGGTGCGAACTACATTGATAACATGTTGAAGATGGTTACTGGAGGCGTATCATCGACAGCAGCCATGGGAAAGGAAGTGACCGAGACGCAATTTACTGGGTTCACCAAAAACTAAGGACTCTTGAGAGATGGTAACTGATTTTATGACTGTTTTCTATTATTCTTAAAGACTAAAAGGGTGGTGGTTTTTCTGAAGCAGTTTTGAGGGTTCTATATTTCTTTGCTTTCTGGGATGGAGTATTTGTAAGACCAGTTTTTTTCTCTGTTAGTGAATTTGACCTTTTTTTTTTCTTCACTATAATGAATATACATGAATGGAAAACGACTTTCCTACCACGAAGTAGAGTAGTTACCTATAGTGGCCAAATGAAACAAAAGCTAATCTACCAGCTATAAAGTACATACTTTCCAGGCCAACAAGGACAAGTACTACTGAGAAATCTACGGAGATAAGCACACCCGGTAGGTGCAGATCAGGTGCCAAGGTCGAGTGATAAAATATGACCAGCCTATTCTTGGTTCAGGCATGAGCTTCCCAGTCATCTAATAAGCAGGCATATATTATCCTTATGAGGGGACGTTTCGGAGCATAAATATTTTAAAAATCTGATAGCCCTTACGAGAGAACGCAGATAACCTTGGCCATGGGCGACAGCATAGTCTTCGGCTTGAGACACATTAGGTGCGACATGTACCTACATGTATCATATCATACCCTATAACTTGTCACATGAGTGAACCATGTAAGCTTGGGGCCTTAGAACCGAGAAAGATTAGGTAACAGTTACAAATACGTATCATTTCTCTGATCTAAACTTATGTCCCTTCGACCCTCTGTGCCGGTTTTTACAGTAGAATCTTAGTGTGGTCTAGATCTACGAGGACGAGCGTCCTTGTATCCTTGCCGGCCTCGGGCTATAATACACATTGATATGCCCGAATCGGATGAGATAATGCTTTTTATTTTAAGAAATGCCTCTTTCCGCTCGTTCAAATCATATTTATCGGCCTCGAGGACAACAGATCCGGGTGTAGAGGACAAATAAGGATCGATAGGGGTCGACATATGTAGACAAGGCACCTTGAGAATATCGTCAAACCTCGCCTCGAGCGCCCCTATGGAGTATGTTGCACTAGATATGCGCAAAAGACCAGCTACGAGGGGTTGATGGCCCCCGCGGGAGGGATGGAGAAAGTCACGAAGAGTGATTTGTGGGTAGGGTTATGCACGGAGTGAGGGTCAGGTTCGATATAGGTAAATGGCTTTTGAATAGATAAAGTCTACTACTATCAATCCCTTCATGGATTGTCACTATTTGAGAGGCTATTTGAGGCTAAAATACAGCTTTGACTCCTTAGTAAATCTGAACTCCACTCAGTGAACCTTGTTTTGCTGTGTAGTTATGTCCGTGACCTTTTATCTGACTTGCGTACGTACTTGTACGTAGTAGTATTCTGGAGTGTCCACACTCTGTAGATAATTAGATTCCTGGATATCATCACGCCATCATGGACCAGATATTTACCACTTTACGGGATTTTATGAAGATATACTGTTCAAGGAATCAATCATACGAGCACAATACACTTCAGAGTTGATTTTCGATTACTTGAATGGTGGTGAGAGTTCGGAATCTCGAAAGATCACTCGACCAAGAGCTCGCGTAATAGCCAATCGGATAAATTAATTTCTAGAATTCTCCGAGTTAGGTTATACAGGACATCGTGGCCGAGTGGTTAAGGCGACAGATTAGAAATCTGTTTCGTTCGCGAGCGTAGGTTCAAATCCTGCCGATGTCGATACACAAATATCTTTTTTTTTCCCCCACCAATATCCGTACCCCCTATTTGTGGTGAGTACACGCATGTAGTACTTCTTCTACCATTGAAGTAAATGAAAATCATTCATATGTACACAAGGATTTCTAAAGGATTCGCCGACCACCAGTCCATCCCTAGGAGTACAATCCAACCAGGAAGCGAGAATTAGGGCACCTTGTACTCTCGCGTCTTGTGAACAATGTTCTTTAAAATGCAGTAGTTTTAGACTCGAAACCCTGGAGATATGAGGCCCACACCCTGGTGTCAATTATATATTCACAAGTAATTAGCACCTACCTAGGCCTGCGTGTTGTGACCTCCGTCAAGAATTGATCAAAAGCTTAAGCACAGTCACTCAGTTGCGCAACAGGTGGGTGGTCGGACATCATGGATCCATCAAGAGCTTCCATGAAGTCTTGGTCCTCTCCCACACAAAGCACAAAGATGTTAGACAAAGATTACTCGTATTATAGACCGGAAATACCCTATGAAGAGGCCAATCAAACTTCAAACTTACCTTGTCTCTCAATGAGAACAAGCTCGTTCTCAAGAACTCAAGGGTTTGAACGTCCACTAGCAAGATCTGACCACACAGGTCTGTTTCATCTCTCTTGAACGCCTTCTAACATAATCCGATAATTTAACTTGACCGTAAGAGATAACCGGTAGTCCAGAAATTGTGGGTTAGGAACATAGCGAAGCCGCAGATCGCTATTTGGAGGCTTTTCAACATATCCTTTTGCGATATTGAGTCCAAAATGCTGGATACTCGAAATCAGCGTTCCAGTATCTTCCTGAATCCAAAGGAGACCAGAAGTACATGGATGCTGAAATGGCAATCCTCTTCGTCGCCAGAAAGTAATCGAAATGCTAAAAGTCCACGTAGTTGTTTGTAAACTTTAAGTTCAACGAAACCACCATTTTTACCTCTCGGATTAATAGTTTAGGCTCCGATAAAGAGTATCTTCCGTCCCCCTGGTTATGTCAGTGATGGAGCACTACCGAGATTTTTAGCTTGTCCATGTTGCATCTATCAATGTAAACATTTTTCCATATGTAGACCTCATAATCGTATACTTCGATAGTGTAGAGAGGTCTTTTATTCTTCGGATCATTCGGTGGATTCAATCTCCAGCTATAGTTCCAGGCCACCATAAAGAATAGGAGGTGCATCATATAAAGCGTCGACCAGCCAACGTTTCGAATTCAGGGCCTGAGTGTCCACTGGATGTTATGAACAATCGAATATCGTGGCGGGGGTATCTCATAAACTTGTGAAAATGTGAATGACTTGAAATAGATCAATATATAAAGACTGGAATAAAAGACTGAAGAGGTTGAGGAAGGATAGATGAATTAAAAGGTTGGAAGATCGATAGAAGAAGCGCAGATACGTAGGTTCGATGGGTGAGACAAAAATAAGTAGAAAGAGAGAAGATACGTACTACGTAACAACCAATATGGGAGCCCTCTCAACTTTATTTGCGAGAAGCGCCCCCTTTATCTAACCCTCAGATCTGTACGCTTTCTAGCTCAACATATGAGCAAAATTCGCAAAAAAAGGTGACAGAGAGGTTTGGTTCACTATGTATATACGATATTCATAAGTTTCAGGGCCAAGATGTCTCTTAACTTTATGTAGAGTTGTGGTTCATGTCAGGCTTCATGAAGCACCGACAAACTTTAACTCTGAGGGAAGAACTTAGCGGGCGCTGGGATTACCGCCGGATTTCAGCCTCATGCTCTATCCTTGTCATCTGAACCCGAAGGTAAAATAGCATTAATTGGATCAGAGTTGGCCTTTATAATTTAACCCATATGCAAATATGTTTTAATTAAATCGCCCTAAATGTCCCCCAACTCCAACTCTCACTCGGCCTTTTTAACTTTGGTTATCCCTACTGAGAAACTCGGATGCATCTCCGGTCCGCCTTAAAGCCCTGATTATATATCCACAAACATGGACCACCAACTGGGTTGTCTTGGTAGGCAAATAGTGATACAAAGTAACTGTATCATATGATAGCTTGGCCGTTACTATTTGTAAACCCTGTTAGCCGAGAATGGTATCTTCGAGTGACGGTGAGTGATTGTGATGAGCTCTCAAGGTAGGGGTGTGTTTAACTGGATTTGTCAGCGAGTGATCACCCATGAAGGACAACTAAGTGATAAGAGGAATCACTTATCCGGGACCCAGACCCTGCGATCTTGCTACTAGTTGGAATTGGCAAGTCAGGGTGTGAAGTAAAGATCGCCACCAGGGTACTAACAGGTTTTCGGTTGCGAGAATACTTTACCAACCAACTCCTGGGACCTGTACTCTACAGTTCCTAAATCTGTTTATTTGAAAGGTTTTATTTAGATGAATACTGTACTACCGTCTGTACGTTTGTTGGGGTAATACATATACTATTCGCTACGTCACCGGTAAAAAGTAATACCACGTTTGTCGGATTATATACGTATACACAGGTAGGTGTGTTTTACAAAAGAAGTCCGGGCTTTAAAATTTGATATCTAACTGGACCGGTCCTTTCCGGAAGTGCAGTGGAGGTCTGGATTTCCATGCTAATAATTTTTGAATTTTCAAATATATCTGCGGGGTTAATGCGCGCAGGTGACATGTATAGGTGAGTGAGATAGTATAAAAAAAAAGTCTTTCGTGTTACAAGCTAGCGACGCTAGCAGGTCTACAGTCCCTTAGGGCCGTCGGGAGGTTGAAGCTGATGAGATCGGAGATCTTGCCTTGGAGTTTTATCTCCCATCTACCCTCATATCTTGGAAGTTGACAAAAGAGATCTCTAACTTCCCCAGGAGAAGTTAGATCGGCCCAACTCCGAATTTGTGGAGTTTCCATTACTGACGGTGGGTTTGCGACACCGTGGTTCTGTGCACGAACCAGCCTTTGGGTATCTGGGGTGCAGCAAGATCTACCATACTCCCCTCATTTCCTCTGACGTTACAATGACGAAGATCATCCTGCCCCAACATCTAATCTATTGTTGTATAACCTTAAGCTCAATAGAGTAGTCAACCTTCTGAATACATGGCATCATCGCATAAGCCCCCCAAAGAAGTTGGCTAGAAAGAAAAGAAAAGAAAAAATGATTCCGATTGATCTTAGCAAACCGATCATGGTGAACTCCCAAGAGAAGAAAATGTAACACAACGTTGCGCGTTTAAACCAAGCTCTCAAGGTTTAAAGTGAGCTCTGAAGGGGGCGAATCCGGGATCCAACTGCGAGGATATGCGCTAGGCTTATATTCAATGACAAAGGGGGGAAACAAACAGTATGCGCGAACAAACAATTATAAAGATATACTGAAGAAATGATGAGCAGTAGAGCTTACCCCCAGGAAATTTCCTTCCCCCCCCCCCCCCTTTCCTATTCTTTATCCGCCTCTTCCAAATGCACCATAGGATATGAAAAAGAAAGGAGTAAACTTGCATAGATATGAAGACAAAACTAACAATCCGCTTGTTTCACAGGCATTTTGAGCAGTTAAGGACTGAACCACAAACTGTACTGTATTGCAATACGAAGCAGGGATATTTAAGGCAATAGAAAGCAGTTTTTTTTAACAGCAAAGGTGATAAAGCCCACCAGGTATGTATGGGTCGGGTGAGTAAAGTAAAAAGGTAAAACAAAACCAAAATTCACAAATCCAAACCAGAAAGAGACCCGAGATACAAATAAATAAGACCCTTGAACGCATCACGCCTTACGAAAAAGCGAGGAACCCCAAGATTTCGGGAAGAGTAAATTTAAACACAACGAAGGCGTTAAGAAAAGGAGTGCAACAAAAACACAATAACCAAACCAAAATAAATAATCCTAACCCATCAAACAAAAGAAAGAAAGGCAAAGTTACACACTGTAAATAGCAGGTGAGGTATAGTAGCCATATCCGTGACAATCCCTCCACGGAAGAAAGAAACACCACTGTTATATACTTCAACAAAAGAAAAGCACTCACTTCTGAGGGCATAAAAGACCGATGAGAACCTTGACTTCTCAAAGCCAACCTATTCAAACACATCCCGAAACTCATGTCTGTAATTGCCCGAATCGACACATCTAGGGAAATCATAACTTTTGGGGTTTCGTTTCGGTCGTTAATCGTTGCCCATTCCGGACTGAAGATATCAAGAATACCTTCGTCCACTGCCTGGAGGGCCCATCATGCTTCCACCCATCCCGTTGTTCCCCATCCCGTTGTTCCCGCCGTTCCCCATTGCCATCCTGTAATTTTGCCCCATCATTGGTGCATGACTGTAATCATTAGGAAGGTTGACGTTTCCCATATTACTGGTTACAGCTTCTAGGTTGATATTAAGGCCATTTGCAAGAGCAACGGGGCAATCTTTGTGCGCAAGTAATAAGGTTTTGAGAGACATGATTTCCTCTCGTAGGCCAGTGACTTGCGCAGTAAGGGCATCATTTTCGCTTGAATAAAGCTCAACTTTGGCTTGAAGGTTTGCAAGCCATTGCTTTTTGCGTTGTCGACATTTCAATGCAGCAACACTACAAATTGTCAGCATGGGAAATCTTCTGAAAGAAGACACAATGATTTAGGGCACTTACCGATTCCTCTCAAGAAAGTTTTTCCTCTTCTCTTCATCTGTCATCTTCTTTCCGTCTTTGCCAGTTTGGTTATCATCCAGGTCCATCCCATCGTTCCCATCATCACTTCCTCCACTAATCGATTGATTGACTTTAGCCTTCTTGTTCCGGGAAGCTCCTCCACTGGGACTTTGATCTTCAGCCTTTCGCCTTCCATTCATACTTGCACCCTTGCTTTTCCTTCCTCTGGCATTTCGTGAGCCATTGTTTGAGCTCATTGGCATATCTTCACCAGAGTCACTCATATCACTAGCCTCGCTAGACGCTCGAATACTGTTGGCCATTGAAGTGACACTAGATGCTGACCTGTTGATGCTGCTACTCATAGCAGCGTTATTTGCGCTATTGACAACAGCCCTCTTGGCAAGACTAGGACTTGGGCTCTCGATAGGACCCCCATTGGATCCAGACATTACTGACGGAAGCTGGCTGTTATTTTGATAGCCGGTTCCTGATGTGACCATTGGCGCAGCTGCGCTATCACCTTGTTGGTGCTGAGCCTGGGCTAACAAGAAAAGGCCACTCGCAGCATTATGAGCTGGATCGGAACCATGGTATGGGTCTGAGTGTTGTCGGGACTTTTGGTCGTGATCGTTATGGCCAGATGAAGTATCTTCGGGCTTCACTGAAATGTGTTGAGAGGTACTCATACCAGGCAGACCCTTTCGCACGGCAGATATAGCTGTCTTGTGGAATTCTAAAGTCCCTGGTGTAGTCCCACCACCACTGGTGGCAAATTGAAACATGGTATTTTGAGGTTGGGCAAAAATAGAGCCAGATCCTCCGGGAGTCAATCCACTCCTGATGCCCGACTCGTTGGGTGTTAACCCGGTTCGAATATGTGACTCGAACCCTAATGAGCTGCTAGCCCCAACTCCGCCGGAACTAGTTGTAGGTCCCTGAAGCATAGCAGGGGACAGCGGTCCAGACCTGAGAGAGTTGATACCCCAGCTGAGATGATGAGCCCCTGGTAGCAAAGAGGCAGGGGATGTTATAGCTGTCACAGGCGGAAGAATTGCCTTGGGTGTGGCTAGAGGGTCGTTAGGGGTTGTTCCTGGATTTGCAAATGATTGTTCAAAAACGTTTGGCTCTTGGTCGAGGCGACTGTGGTGGTTGATGGCGAAGTAGTCTCCGGGAGTATCTCTCTGGGACTGACCGGGTGGTGGGGGTGGGGGAAGGGAGCGCGGTGCCTGTTTAACATGTTGATTCGGGGGTGAGTTTGAAGGATTAGAGGGGTTTGGCGCAGGATTCGAAATATCTGGTGGCTGATTTATCGATACCTGAGGAGGATGTAGCGAGCTCGAAGTATTTGATGATGCAAGTGATTGCGCATGGGAAGTCTGTTTTGGAGAACCAATTTTGGAAGAGTCTCGTTGATTATAAGAAGACGCAGATGAGGGTCGTGAAGATTTATCTATCCGTTGAGGTCGAAATAAGTTTCATCACGGGTTAGCACATATGCATTACGTTGTTGTTGTTGATACTCGGTTGTGTCGCGCAAGAATCATCAACCGTTTACAATACAATGTGATGACCATAAGAGGAAGATAATTTTAAAGCGAGAAGCGATAAAGACTGTGTCCACACAATAAACATACCTTCGCCCTTAACATTTCTCTTAGTATCAACTGGAGAGCCTGTGCCCATACGAGAATTCGAGTTCGAGTTCCCGTTGTGAGCAGTACCACCTTGTCTGGCTGCTACAGCCGCTGACATAGTTGAGGATGTTCTATGACGATTTTTGTGGCGATTAAGGGAGTTTGGTGTTGGGTTTCTTGGTTGAGTGGGCGATAAGATGGATGATGCTTCCTTGACCGGTTGGGGAGGGATACAAGTGAATTAGAAGTGATGTGTGTGTGGGGGGTGTGGGTGTGATGTAGTGATGATGACGATGATCTCTATCTGGAAGGGTCTCTCCCCGATTGCAGAAGCTACCTTAGCGGTGGAAACAATAACCAATTTTTTTTTCTCTCTGTTCCTCTTCTCTTTTAATATCTGGCCAGACACACGCGCTCTTGCAAAACACGCTTAATTTTTCTCAAGATGATACCGATCGGATTCTGCAAGATTCCGGGGGGATGATTAGAGGGTGGCGGTCGATGTCGCAGGTTTATTTCTGAGGGGGGAAAGGGAAAAGGGTACGATCAGATCACTCGAGGGGAAAGGGAGGAAGACTGGCTTTCCTGCCTGGAGGGGGGAAGGGACGAATTAGCACGATGGATTAGCAATTAACCCACCATCCTCTCGGGCCTCCCGCTAGGCTGATCACCGTGGGTATTGGTTGACGGTTCGCGGAGACACCAAACGACGCTCGGGGAGAAAGTGTGGCGAACAGGAAGCCAGGTGAGAGTGAGGGGTGAGAATGGGGAAAGGGACGAGTTGTGAATTCACACTTACTTACCAGCTGCTTGGTGGGGAATATCGCAGGTCTCTATGCGTGTAAACCTTCAAAGATCAACCTTTTCCTTCCCGTGAAAAGAACGACAGCAAGACGAAAATGTAAGCCGAATCCGAATATACGGTACAAGCAGGGCTCAAGCTGTCAACGGGCCGGTGGTGCTTGGTCCGCGGCTCTGGCGTTGTTCGTAGAAGCGGTGTGGTGTGTGATGTAGCTGGGATTTTGGTGGTGGTGGTTGTAGTGGGTGATAAGGGGGAGACCGCTGACGTAGTGGGTTCCTTCTGCCGACACAGTGTTCGTGTGCCTCCTTTTTTTTTTTTTTTTTTTTTTCTCCTTCGAGATCAAAGAGAACAAAAAGTCAAAGGCAAAGAGAGATTAGACGACAAAGGGATAAACGCATATACCGGGTGAATTACAGGGGAAAATGTGGTTTATTGCAAAAGATGATAAACGTGAATGTAAGTAAATTTGGGAGAGTCGAAATTTTGCTAGGGATCAATCGCTGAAGTGTGTCGTCGATGACGAAGGTATGCTTGCGTGCGAGGAGCGGCAAGCTTGAGGATTCGAACTTATCCAACACGCGGTTCAATCCCCATTAGTCAGGAGGCGTCGCTCTCGCATACCATTGGCTAGATCCTCTCCCCCGGTCTGCTTGTAAATTAGGTGTGTGGTAGGCCAGAGGATGGAGAATGACGTATGACGGTATCTTGCTTGGCCGAGCTGCCCGTTTTGGTGACGAATCGACGCATCCGGTTGAGACAGACGTTAAGAAGGAAACGTGGGCTTACACACGCCTCCAATCACCTTGGCCCTCGCATCTGCACTCCAGTACCAGTACCAGGAAAGGTCTTCTTTGTTTCGATGTGTCCACTTGCAATTGTGAGCCTCAAATTTCCTTGTCTACCACAAACAAGCCTTCTAAAACGAACACATTTTGATGGCTTCTGCAGAAAATGGTTCATTTGGGGCTCAACTCAACCCCCCCCCCCCCCCCCACGTTCTAGATCTTGCAGCTTGGTCTAACTGTCTAAGGATAGAAAAAACGGTTGTTTGTTCCTGTTACAACCTCATAACTAGGCCGCATTAAATTGCTGTTGACTTTTAAAGCCCACCTCTCGGGAAAGCGCTGCAAGAGACGTCTGGAGGCAATCCAAAGCTTTGAGGTGTGTGTATGCGCATATATGCATGTATGTGTGTCAACGCCTAAATCTCTAATCACAACTTACTGACCGGTAATGGTACCGAGAATATATAAATTATAGAATATTTTGAATATACGTATATATATCCGGGTACCAACTCGAAAGATCTATGTCAAACTCGTCGTCTCGGTGTATGCAATTTCCAATGACGTTTTAATAACTGATCTGTTATGAAAAGTACGAACAGTATAACATTGTTTTTCTTCTTGATAACATACTTCCTATTAACGATAACCTTATTTCAATTCCGGGGTTATCGAACCTATGGCTCGTCCCAATCAGTAATCTCTAAGCTACTGGATCGGATTTAACAGGCCGCTTCGGTAGAGTACACAGTGATTATAGATATTACAGTGCTAGGTGTATGTGTACTCTCATTGATCCATGTACTCTGTTACTCGCATACACCAATCCTTTATCTTTGATGCAAGTAACACAATAAGACGCGTGTTTAAGCCTCTGGACAGGTGAGAAATTACAGCAGGTATGTTTGCAAAGGTCAATGATCACTCCCCATCTCTATTTTTGACCTTGCTTTTTAGGCCCTTATATACTAATTTGGTGTTCAGAAAATTATGTCAATATCAAAATAACTCCGGAGGTTCCATCCATCATACCGCAAGCACCTTCCTCGGCCGCGGGTGGCTCTAAACCGGGACCCGAATAGATGATCAAGACCTCGACATTTCCCTTCGTTCACCTATCTTCGGCTATTGTTGGTTATGGAGAAAACTTAACGTCGTACTACCGTTTGCACTTCGATCGTAGTCCTAAGGTTGCCACCGAACCGAAACAAACACTCTTGGGATCCATAAAAATAAGAATAAAGTGCAGAAGTTGGAAGGATTTAGTGCACTTTACCATAGCCGTATGGATCTGAAGTCAATAAGCCAGGTTCTCGATTCCACGCTTTACAACCCCGGCTTCTCTTGATCCCCCCTTAACATTGTTATATCATTTGTCTCCCATCTCACCGGGTGCATACACCCATCCATTCCCCAGAAAACACCGAAGGGGAATATTCCATCCCGGGTAGGGGTGGGGCGCTTAAATATATGTTAAAACTTATAGGGCTGAGACGAAAAGATGGTTTATGTATCTCGGCAGCGCGAATGAAGAGACGTGCGGCTGCATATGACAGGTCGCGCTCGCTGGAACATCACATCACTAATCCTGGTATGTACCTACATATTCCGCAGATACATGTATGTGGTGGCGCATGATACCACTGTCAAGTAACAAAGAAGTTTTATGTCTGGAGACTGATTATAAATGATAGTCACATCGTCGTTGTATATATTTGTTTGATAGATCTAATGGTGGAGATTTGAACACGCATGGCACTTGTTTGCGTAGGGAATTTATCGCCCTTAAGAGACACATATCCGATCCTGAAGAAGAAGCATGAGCTCCAAAATGTGGATACATGAATTCGAAGCTTTACAAGCTTTCACAGATAATTTAGTGCCCGAAACCAACGTAGTATCGATATAGTATAATATTGATAATAGGCTTGCCTGACCACTGTAAATGGATCTTAATATTATGAGGGTTATTTTGTCGTATCTTGCTTGGTAGCTATAATAAATAAGATGGCTGTTATATACTACATGTAGTCCATATGTTGCGAGTGAGGCTATGTGATCGAAACTACAAGTAGATTCCCAAACCCTATACAAAGGGATTAACACCAATAATATACTTCCGGGTGTACATCGTATGCGTTCATTCTAATTATCACCCTTAAGGTGATAGCCCAAATAGCCAACTTAACACTTATAAAATCCATAAGTTCCCTCAAAACCTAAAAACGGAGCATCTAACCCACCGTAATTAAAGTCTACAGTGTATGCAATCTATCAACTCATGACCGTTGTGCACGGGTCCACATGGAACTCTTTAGAATTTAGCTTCTCCAATCATCTAAGAGCTCGAGCTTGTCAGTCAGTATGATTTAAAGCTTAACCACAGCTGCCAGCTTTTTTTTTGAGAAAAACATTGGAAACTGAGTCAAAATATAGCGAACAAAAGAAGATACGACGACAACGACAAGATTCGAACTTGCGCGCCCGAAGGCATCCGCTAACTTTGGTGACCCATAGCAGGCGAACGTGTTAACCACTCCACCACGTTGTCCTGGACTTCAGGTTCTTTTGTAGAATACTTCACACAGTTCTGCCAAGAAAAAAATCTGTGCAACCTTGCGCCCTTTGTGGTCGTACGGCAATAATTCACGCCGCTGACAGCCGGTCAGGTTACAGATTAGTACCACTTATGCGTTATGCGGTGGTTTTCCAAAGGTGATTACGAACAGGATCGGAAGCTGTCGCGGTCGCGGATTCGCGGCTGATCAGATCCTCGTACCATACTTTACATGCATGTATGTACTTCATGACACGGTGGAAGAAACAATTATTGTAGGCTACCACACATACATGTAGGTATCACCGCTGCGAAGAACTTCAAAATTCAAATACATTATCAGTTCGATAACTAAGCACTTGTGGCTTATAGCCAATTTCTGAGGTGTGATTTCATTTCATACATCTACAAGTAGACGTTACTAGTACTGGCTACATCATGTAGGGTACAGTCCGTATGTAATTTGGTGCATTGTCGATAGCAGCACGTCACTCCTCGAAGCACATAAATTATAAATCGGAAATTTGAAGGCAGGGATCTAGTTGTGAACTCGTAATTTCGAAGAGAAAATGTACATGTATTGACCCGCAAACTTGAGGCTTATGGTCAGTGCGCAAACCCATTAACCCGAATCTGTCCTCGCAATCATTCCCATGTTAAACGTTTATGGCTCTAGGGGGAGTGGAAATGTGTACCTCGAATATTAAGTAAAGTCGTCGGGAAAGTCATTTCTGGGGTCCCAATGTTCGCTGGGAAATGTCAATATTTTGGCGGAGGAAAGTCGTTTTAAGGGAAATTAGACGACTTTACAGGCGACTTTTTAATGACTTTACTGACGACTTTACTGACGACTTTACCTGTCACGCTTCTGTCACTCATTTTGGGCGTATACACAGGGGGGGATAAGTTTTGGCCACCGGTGATGCTTCACATGATTGACAAAGGCACCGCCAATGAGACGAATCATCACAGAG